TCCTGCAGAAAGGATTTTTTCAAAAGCAGGTGAAATTATGAACGATAAATGCAATAGACTAAAGGATAAGAACTTAAACACATTGCTTTGTATAAAACAAAATTTGAATATTTTGTAATTAATTACCTATAATTTTTAATAAATAAAAACAATAATTACTTATTATTATTATTATTTGTGATACCTGCTGAAAGACATAGTCTATCGATAGGATAGACTATGTCTTTAGAACAATCGATATATCGATAGATAGTCTATCGATATATCGATTGTTTTATAAGAAGCTATCGAATACTTAAACAATGGCTGTGTAATGAACACTAGCACAATCCACACTGATGAAATGTTTCTTTCACGTTACATTGCATGTTACGTAACGTATTGAAAAATACTTAGAAAATGCTTTCCTATTCAAAGTACCAACCATTCAGGCAAAATAAATAGTCGCTCGGAGTCACTTGTCATGATGTGTTTTTCATTTTTTTGATGGTTGGATAGTAGGATTCATTATTCATAGTTTTTGATTCTTTAATGTTTGGGCGTACCGTATCTTCTATTTATTTATATAAATATAGATAATAGATGTGGTAGGTACCTATTTGTCCATTTTATATGCATTTGTAAGGCTTTTTATTTTTAAAAGTGACATAAAAATGTATAATTATATTGTCATTGCAAATTAAAATGCATATTTTGAATTGTACAAGTGGTTTCACGTAAATAAAATAGGATATTATAGTTGGATATTAATCTTAATGGTATAATTGACGTATAACACCAAATAAAGATATTTCATAATAAAAATATTATTATGCGAATAAAATAAAGAAACTTTAACATGCTATAAATATTTATGTGACAAAATTAACAGAACTCTCGTTATTTTCCTTTGTTTATTATATAAATTGTATGTGATATTTGTTTTTTTTTTTACAATTTGTATAAGTATTTTAACAATATTTTATGCTATAAATGAAGTGGATTACCTTAAATTGATTTTAGGTGACTATAATTTATGGACCATTTCGGTTTAATAATTAGTGGTGAATGGGCAAAATTGTTTTATTTTTATTTTAAATGTCAACCTAGTCAACTTAGAAACTATTGTTTTGATGCGGACGAGGGCTATGAATATAATTCTAAATTAATTCACGATTTCTTTCTATGTATACAAATTGTATTGTAAGTTAAGTAGGAACAACTTTTAGAAAGAGGCCGATAGGTGAATTCAGTTGACCTAGACAGTACTGACTGTCTAAGCCTAACTTGACAGTCTCGTCACCCATACCGCAAAGCCTGAAGATGAGAGTCTTCTGATAGCCTCGGTTGCGGGGACGCGTTAGGCATTTAATAACATACTACGTGTTCACTTCATGAATGCCGTTACCTCCCGCCGCGCTCCCTCATACCGCGCCTCAACCGTCGCCCATATAGTACCGATAGCAACGCTGAAATGTATCTACTGTTTGTGCTCTAGTGCGATCTCTTGTTTGTTACTGTTTTTGTTGTTCTTGTTACTGTTAATTTTTTGTTTCGGTTGACTTTTTACGTTCGTTAATTTGTGATAAACACAAAATGTAGTGATGACAGTGATACAGGGACGAACGATTTTGATAAAATAACTGGTATGGAAGTTATGGATTACAAATAATTACCTGCTAGTTTTTTTCGCGTCTTCGTAAATAATTTATTTAAAATATATAATAAAACTTTAATCAAAATATTTTATTTTATTGGACACGTTTCTAATCAGTGTTATTATTTTACTTTACTAACTAAATAAATTATTCAATAATATGCATTTTATCTACTTGCTTGCCCTCCATTTCTCTGTATAGGACAACAAACTAAAAATCGAACTTCATACAATAATTAAAACACTTACGATAATAGTTTTGTCTACGGTACCGTCAGCTGTTACGTCATAACGGTCGGCGACGGCAAACTCGAAATGAACGCGTAGTATTTACTACACAGTTGTTATTGTGAACATTTCCAGGCTTAAGGCGTTTACAACAGTTAATGAATTACGATGTATTTAGCGACGCCCATTTTTCTGCAATAGCCTAATAGTGATCGGATAGCGAAGCAAAGCGACATACATCTTTTTTGAGAATGTCTATGCACGCACTGTCGTACCAAAAGAGACGCTCTACGTCACGACGCTTGGAACTTAATAAAACAACTATTTTCCGTATTCAAATAGCAATACAGCGCCATAAGTATATATTTCATAATTTTGTGATTATTTAATTGGATATGGGTTCACATGTAGAAACAAATATGTATACTAATTTTTTATTGTTAATAATTCCTTATTTTTATACAGGGTTATTTTTCAAAGACTAGCTAAATTTAATAATTAAGTTCAAAGTATAAATACTGATATACACATTTTGCAGTTTTTAAAAATACGCGTAGATTAGAAAGATTTACATTTATTTCAAAATATCCGAAATTGAATGTGATTTATGGGCAACAACAGCGCGCGCTCGTGTGTGTACGAGTGAATGCACGCTTTTGCTTACTATTTACTTCCTTAATGACACGCTCAATACTATGATTCCTATTTTCCCTTTATACTTTAAACGGGCTTAGGTACGTCATAATAGATTTTTTTTTTACTTTTTACGGCGTATGGGATGAATGCTATGCAAATAAAAATTCTACACTCCACGAATTAAATATATTTTTTACTCCCATACAAAAGACAGTTCGAAATACAAGTTTAGACTACAGAGCGAGGGAAAGAGGTGGAGAATAAAGGTAAATAATCAGTTGTAGAAAAGATAGCTGAGCTAGAAAGCCGATGATAGGTTGAGGCGATTTAAATAAGGCTTACTCAGGCGGCGTGAGCGTAGCGTCTAACATTGAGATCGTTTAAAACTGGACTGGCCAGGTAGTATGCAGGATAATAGGCAGTGCGAATAGTGCTGAGTATTATCGACCTCGTAATATGTTTATTATCATAATTTTACTACTTAAATATGCAATCACATAAAATTACACTAATCGTTCACAAAAATGTTTTCGAGGTGGACCATCGTTATTATTCAGTGCTTGTACACATTGGTAATAAAATGGACGATATCCAGAAGAATTCAGTAGTATCCACACGTACTGGCTAACTCTGAACTCGATCTTCCCTATAATATTGTAGTCTTAGACTCGATCACTGTGTTTTCGACAGCCGAGCTTATTACTGAATGATCACCTCGAGCACTTCCGTGTGACGGAGTGGTGAACTGTCAAAGGTCTAACAGCCTTTGGTTGGCTGCAAAAATTGTTCTCAGATTACGGTAAACACTGTAATATTGCACCATTTTATAGTACCCGCGGTTCGAATAATTTTGTTACGTCATTGGTAACAAAGCGTACGTAATGAGGTCACGGTCAACACTGTCAGCTGTTGGCTTAACTGGGCGAGTGGACGCAGGTACTTAGCGATGACCTTGTAGCGCATCTCCCCCTCTTTTTTTACGAATGTGTGCGTGCATAAAATAGTTAACGTTAGATATTTATGAATGAAAGTCAGTTAAAATAATGCATTACTACGTATTTTGAATTTAAGTAATAATGACAGAATGTTGTAGATATTTTTAAATATTTTTTTTAATATTTTATTTAATATAATTTAAGTAGTGCATAATTTTATTTTGCATAATCGTAGGCTCCATGAATAATCAATTTTCTTAAACATCGGCAATTACTAAATTGTTTACTATATTGGCCTATTAAAAAATATAGGCCTTCAGATTTGTCCATAATTTACCATCCCAATCTTTTATCCTTCACGTCGGACGTACTGTTGCTCTGTCATCTTTTAATTTTCAGAATGGTCTTCCCCTTTATCTCTCCTAAAGGATAGTCTCCATTCCATTTCTCTTCCTTCTTTTTAACATTATGATGTGCAGTTTTCTTCGAGTTACGTTACAAATACAATGTATATTCATAGCTCGCGTTCGCAATAACGGGAAGGTTCTAAATATTATGAACAATTTATTTTATAATTCCATAAAGCATTTACTAGTTAATTGTATTTTAATTCCAAACAACAAACTATTTTATTTTATGATATATTTTAAGAGATTCATTTTAAATGATATTATTGGAAGTGTGTGATATTCCTAATGTTGACAATTTTTGTTCATTTTCTTACATTTATTAAGGTTTTTTATTTATGTCTAGTTGTAGATTATTTGAGATGTGGATTTTAGAAGCAAGTTTATGATGTGTTGATAAATGGTTTTGTAATTTAGGTACAATGAAATGAAATGCGAATTAAATGATGAATAAAAATTTTGTTTAATTTAAATGAATTAAAAACACATATTTTAAAAAGTATACTTTAATTGGTGGGCTTATCAAATGGCAATTAACTTGATTAATAAAATCACAGACATTAAGAAAAAGCATTACAAAATTAACATACCTCACTGGCCATTATTTTAATCACTACCTAACTAAATCAACTTAAGACGCTTACTAATTTTACTAATAACGCCATGTTATATGACAACAAAGTTACACGGAAGTAACATCTATTGGTACTTTATTTCACATTAAGACATACAAAATGTGATTTATTATTAAGCTACATTTAGAAGTACACTTCTATCATAATATCAACAAAACTAATCTAACAAAATAAAAATATTACCAGCAACAGATTGACATGAACCATATCAATAATACAAAATGAAAATTTAAAATGACAAAATAAAGGTAAAATGCAAACGTATCAAAAACGGTAAATTTAAAACTAACCTGTAGCTTGCTATAACAACCAGATCATATATTTTTGGATCACAAAAAAAAAGTTAATTCTTATATCACTAAATATCATGGACGAGAATACTTTGTAAAAATGAGGTATTTAAAACCAGGATAAGATGGAAATATTCATTTTCAAGACTTATGTTTAAAGTCAAGAAAAAATTATTTATCTCAATGGGTATCAAATGTACGAATCATAAATTATAAACAGTGTACTTGGAGATTCAAATACTGAGGGTAGACAGTAAATGTCTTAAGTCGTTACTGTTACCCTCCATTTTAATTATACTTCTGAATGCTCTAACACATGTGGCTTCTTTCTCCAAATTCCTGGATATAAGTTGAGCTCTCTTGGTGATGTCCCGGGGTATTCCTGCCAGGCGAGCAGCATTAAAGCCGTAAGACTTTGGACAAGCTCCAGGAGATAACTTGTACAAGAACGTAATCGTTTCTTCAGGTATATCATCTTCGCAGTCCACTGCTGATTCGTCCGTTTCAACCATACACGCCTGCAAAGGAATAGTTAATAAAGATATATAATGTATATAGTATATTTTATAAAATACTAGCTGATACCCGGCGCGTTGCTGCCACAGAAAAATAATTGTCGAAATGTTGTTTTAAATTTGGAAATTATATTGGTTAATTAGGAATGATAGTAAAGGGTTTTTCTATAATTAATTTATTAATTGTTATCATAGTTCTGTAGCGCTCGTCGTTGACAGTGACCACCTCACCAGCGTCATTTTCGAAAGAGTACGGACAAAATCACATCAAACGGTAACTTTTTGAGGTTGCATTATCACCTGATGAACCTCGCGTGGGTTAGTGTCGTCCCATATATGGCAATTCTGCTTGTTAACACAGCCATTCATCCAAAAATGCGCCTCGTCGCTAAAGATGATTTTTCGGCCAAAATTGGGATTCTCTTCCAAACGATTCAAAGCCCAGTCAGCGAACGAACGGCGTTGTCTATGGTTATGAACTTTGAGCTCCTGAATCAATTGTATCTTGTACGGGTGTAGGCCTCCGACGCAAAATTCACCAAGTTGAAGTCTGCGAAAGGCAGAGTTCTTGTACACGGCGAGGAGTCGACTGCCTCGGGTTTTGCTGTATACTTTCACGAACCGCGACGATGTTCTCGGCCGATCTTGCGTTCCTTGAACGTACGGGTGTTGGCTGATTGTTTAACGAACAGGCCGTTTCAAATTTGGCCACCAAACGTCGAAGAGTCGGCTGTGAAGGGCCATCACGTCTACCCTAAAATGGGCGCAATGCGCACAACGTTTACACTAACGAACACTCATTTTGATAATAGAGTTTTATCATTTGACCGTGATGTTCAATCGTGTAACTTGCCATGGTGATTTGTTTTAATTTAGCATAAGAAACAAAAGATTTGATAGATGTCACCAAAACAAAATGGCTGTCACGGGCCGTTAAAATCTACCCGCGCCAATTGAAAAACCCTTTATATTCATTGAAGCTGAGTGATATTTATATTACTTTTAAATAAATTCCTCTACTACTGTAAGTTAATAATACTATGCCTATAATCTTCGCAAAAGTGCAAGCAATATGTTGACAAAGTTTTACCGCAATCTGTTGAACGGTATGGCAGCGCATAAAATACGTACAAACAAATATTAATTTTTATATATTAGATTCTTTAATGTGAAATAAAATTATTTTATATTACCCACTTTCTTTTAATATAAGATGGCTAATCATGTATGCAATAATTTATATACTTTAAATTTAATAACAATTTCAATAAGAAATACTTACCAGTGAGTGGTAGCGCGTGCTGAACACCCCTCGCTGAGCCTACACTATGGTGGTATTCACGCAATAGACGTACTGACTGCTCACTACTCACCATGTGGCCGAGCTGGACGCCAGGCTGCGCGGCCAGGTACTGTACCAGCGAGTGGTAATGCGTGCTGAACACCGCCCGGCACTCGCGTGCTGCCAACTCTACACACACTGCTGACGCTATCGCTGTACCATCGTACGTGGACGTACCGCGACCTGTTATTATCGATACAATTATTAATCATAAAAAAATAGATATGTATAAATACACAAAGAAGCGCGTTGGAAAATATATTTCCGTGATTAAAGCAAAATTTTTATTGAAACTGAAGTAACAAACTTCTTAGGTTTTATTTGGGGTATGTTTAATGTTTTTTTAAGTAGGAGTTTTTTATTACTCAACCAATATGACCGTGCATCTAGCCTCAATGATCTAAATTTCAATAGTACTGTTACGAGCTTGGGGTTCGAGACAATTAAAACTGCCGATTGAATTACCAAAATTGACACTTTAATTACATAACACTAATTACAATCTAAAACCACACTAATAATAAAACACAATTTTACCACTGATCACTAGTTCGCAGTTATTTTGCTTCGAAGTATTCGCTTGTATCGCCAATTCAATACTGCCTCGGCCGTGGTCTATACCGACCTTATATAGGGCCTCAGATAGTTTCCAGAACCTTCTACTGTAGCGACATCTAGAATGTTCGAGTACATATCGGTCCCGAAATTTCTGAAAGGATCTTGACTCCTAGTTCTGCTACTTGACACTAGAGGGCGCTAGTGTAACTAGTGTTGCCATGTACAAGACATTAATAGTGGCGCGCATCACTGCCCCCTCCTAAGACATGCTCGTCCCGAGCATTACTGGCCCCATAATGACGCGCCCGTCGATCCACATGGACGATCTTAGGAGTAACTCTGGCACCTTTCTGTATTCGGTAGGTTACGTCATTGATCCTTGTCACAATCCGGTACGGTCCGTCCATTTTATTTTTATAGCTTGAAGCTTAGGAGATTTCCCTTTGCTGCGAGCTGGATTGTGTAACCACACTAGTGAACCTTCGTCAAACCCTTTGTTGTTCATTTTGCGGTCATACCGTGTTTTCATCTTCTCAGACGTTTGCTGGCCCGACTGTCTGACGTGCTCATAAATGTCATTCATTTTGTTCCGTAAGTCATTTGCATAATCTGCGTGGGGCATCAGGTGGTATTTCGGCGATCAGGTCTGCAGGCAGCCGTAATTCTCTCCCAAAGTTTGCGAAAGCTGGCGTCACTGATGTACTTTCGTGAACAGCGCTTCGATATGACAAAAAAAAACTGTTGTATGTGCCTGTCCCAGTCTCGTTGCCGTTTTTCCACAACTTTTGCCAAGTACCTTTCCAATATCTGATTAAATCGTTCTACCATTCCATCAGATTGTGGGTGGTAAGAAGTTGTTCGTGTTTTATGAGTACCCATAACTCGGCAAGTTTCCTGGAATATTTGAGACTCAAAATTCCTTCCTTGATCGCTGTGAATCTAAGGGTACTCCAAAACGACGGAAGACTTCATGAACTAGTTTATCTGCAACTGTTGAAGCTTCTTGATTTGGAATGGCGAAGACCACTTAATGAAGTAATCCATCACAATCATGAAATACTTGTTACCACTTTCACTTTCCGGAAACGGCCCCGCAACGTCAATGGCTATCCTCTCTCATGGTGCACCAACATTGTACAATTTCAATGCGCCTCTACTACGAATTTGAGGTCCCTTTACAGCTGCACAACTTGTACATTTGCGGCACCAGTCCTCGTCATCGTCACGACAGTGGACCCAGTAAAACCGTTCTCGAATCTTCAGTAGAGTTTGTTTAACTACCAGGTGGCATCCTGAACAACCGCTATGGTACAGCTGTAGAACATCCGGTACTTTAGCCTTAGGGACAACCATTTGCAAATGACACCTGTCTCCCCGACCATTTTCCCATTTACGGCACAGGACTCCATCCGGCATCAGCAAGCTGTCCCATTGAGCCCAATAGGTTTTCGTGGTCGAACTCATTGCTGAGACTTCGCTCCACTTAGGCTTAGGAGCACTGGCCTTCATCCATTCCAGAATCGGCTTAATGTCCGAATCTTCCTGCTGTGCATGTTGTAGACTGTCCTTCCACTCATTGCTGAGCTGGTCTGTCCTGAGTATCCTCACAGATACCACTTCCTTACCCTCTTGCCTAGTACAATGCTTGCAATCTTCAGGGCAAGATCTTCTTGACAATGCATCTGCGTTGTCATGAGATTTTCCGCTGCGCTGGGCGGTGCTGTTAACCGCAATACCCTCTCGAGATCAATCACCTTCCCTTTCTACAGTTCGCTTAGGGCAGGTGGATCGAAGATGGCCCCTTTCCCCACAGCCGTAGCACCTAGGGCGGTAGCCGTTATTGCAGTCCCGAACTGTAGCTACCGCAACCTCCCTGACGCGATGGGAACGATGATCCTGCCGCACGGCTTCCACCTCCAGTGCATGGGTCAAGGCGTCCTTAAGCGTCTCGTGGTGCCAGAGCCTCACAGCAGCTCTAACTTCAAGGTCGCGGATGCCGTCGATGAATGTCTGCAACAGGTTCCCTACAATGAGCGCAGGTACAGACTGGTATGCTTTTCGAACCAGCTTCTCCACCTCAAGGGCCCACTGCTGCAGGTCTTCGTTACTGCGTTGCACGCGATCTTTGAGCTGCGCACGAAAGACTTGTTCCAGGTGAGCGTCGCCATATCGCGCCTCCAATGGCTCAAGGAGCTGCTCGTAAGTCACTTCCTTACTGAGAGCTTCCAGAACAGTTAAGGCCTGGCCGCGCAGGCCTAGGGTGAGAGCAGTCATGGCCTGAATTTTATTCCAGCCGTTCGCCTTCATGACAGCATCGATTTGGATTTTGTAAGCTGACTAGGAAGAAGTCCCGTCGAACGGCGACACTTTGGATCCACGTAGCGAAGGTGTTGTAGCTACCACGGGAGCTGTAACTCCATCCACAATTTTGAGGTCGTCCAGCGTTTTCTTCACGTCAACCATCACGTTGTCAACCCGATTGTTCACTTGGTCGATTCGGGTTTCAGCTTCCGACAGGCGGTTGTTATGTTGAGCAACCCTATCCTTCACCTCCTTTATCTCTTTCCCTTCCTGAGGAGCATCTGTTCTTCCATACCGCGCTGCAGCTGCTCTTCCAACCTACGGGTCTGTTCCTCCTGTCGGCGGGCCTGTTCCTCCTGTCGGCGAGTCTGTTCCTCCTGTCGGCGAGCCCGTTCCTCCTGTCGGCGAGCCTGATTCTGCAGCATCATCATCAGAGCACCTAAGTCAGATGCTGCAGATGCAGGAGCTGCTGACGGGCCGGCCTCCGTGGTTAACAGTTGGCCCTCCGACGTTTTCGGCGTTGCACCAAATCGTCTCTGGTCCGTCTCCTGTTGGCGTTGACTTCGGATACGGATACCCTCCGTGTCGTCTTTAGTTAAAATCGGCATATTTGATCCCACTTCTGACACCAGTTGTTACGAGCTTCTGGTTCGAGACAATTAAAACTGCCGATTGAATTACCAAAATTGACACTTTAATTACATAACACTAATTACAATCTAAAACCACACTAATAATAAAACACAATTTTACCACTGATCACTAGTTCGCAGTTATTTTGCTTCGAAGTATTCGCTTGTATCGCCAATTCAATACTGCCTCGGTCGTGGTCTATACCGGTCTTATATAGGGCCTCAGATAGTTTCCAGAACCTTCTACTGTAGCGACATCTAGAATGTTCGAGTACATATCGGTCCCGAAATTTCTGGAAGGATCTTGACTCTCCTAGTTCTGCTACTCGACACTAAAGGGCTCTAGTGTAACTAGTGTTGCCATGTACAAGACATTAATAGTGGCGCGCAACAGTACTAACGTCACTATTTTTAACCGTGCATTTAATGAATATAATTTTCCCAAAAATCATACATTTACTTATTTGGGTATATAGTTTAAGTACGTCAAGGATTTGTATAAAACTTACCTAATTCATCTAGTAAGACTAGCGAATGCACTGTGGCGTGCTTAACAATAGCAGCAGTTTCGTTCATTTCAACTAAGAAGGTGGACTGTCCAGACAAGATGTCATCCGATGCGCCGAGGCGCGTGAATATTCGATCCACGAGACTTAGGCTACATTCTTGCGCCGGTACGTAGCTACCCTGCGGAAAAATACACGATTGCTATTATTTTATAAGGTAATTACATGTCACATATCAATTGATTCATATTTTAATAAAAAATACTATTTTATTTTATAGAATAAGGGTGACAAACAAACCATAGTCCACCTGATAGTAAGTGGACGCTGTGGCCAATAGACATCTACATTTATCCCCAATTATAATCCTATCTATAAACAATTAGGAATCAAAATAAAGATGCGTTGTCACCCTAGAGGATCAAGAAGAAATGGCTCATTTCTGGTAATGAGGGTCCCCGGTTCTCTATTCTCACAATACGAAACACAGCCACATTAAGCTGCTATTTATATTATATTCTGTGGTGTTCTATGAGAGCGTACATTTCCCCGGCTGAGCCGACCCATTCATGCTACAATTACTATAATACAGCTGCAACGTGGCTCTACCATGTGCTAGCTACTTAAAGATTTGACTTACCAAATGTGCCAGAACGGTGAGAAGTCCAACTTGGCGCATGAGAGTGGACTTGCCGCCCATATTGGGTCCGGTGAGCAGCAGCAAGCTGGTGCCCTCTACACCCAACTCAGTGTCGTTTGGAATAAAATCGTTCACTATTGGAATGCATGGATGTCGTCCCTCTAAGATTTTAATATATGGCTGGAAAAATAATTTGAGAGATTAATTTTATATTAAAAACTCTTACCGTACTTACTAATATAACATTATTGGAAAATATAATACACTGCGATTCTAAAGATTTAACCTAGTTTACAATTTCTACACGCTTACATTTTTACACATTACGCATTATCAGTCTTATTATTATTACCTCTCTGCAATCATGAAATCACAGATAAGGTAATTGCATTGAAACAATAATTTCCAGGCCTAGAACTATAGTTTTCAAGAGTTGTTTAAGCATTTTTCAAAGGCAAATCCAGCACTTATTCTTCAGACTACACACAATTTAATACTTACCTTTTTGTTTTTATCAAAAGTTATTTCCGGTAAACATATATCGCCGTTTTGTTGTCTTGCAAACTCTGCGAACGACAGCAATATGTCGAGAGTAGAGATGCATTGTACCGCCGCCTCCCACTGGTTGTAGTGCGAAGAAAACTTCTCAAATATACGACGATTAAGGTCTTTTAGCACTTTGGTTTTTTGTTCTTCGGCAGCGATCATTCGAGATAGAAAGTCCTAAAAGAGATAAAACATTTTTTCTAATAATCACACTTCACAGTTTATGTTAAAGCCTTCAATATATCTATTATACAAATACTATATGCGATAAGTAAAAATAAAGAAGATATACTCCTTCATCCCTCATATAAACTACGCCTTTATATTTATATATGTGTTGATTGGTAACTAATAACTCAATTTCTTTGTTATTTTTTACAGTCTCTTAAATCATGTCCTACCTTAGTCTCTGTTGTTGAAAATCTCTTAAATCCTTTCCGTGCTCCTTCCAAGTGATATTCAGACCCAGCTTTAGAAGCATTGCTCTGTGGCACTTCTAATTGATACCGTTTCTTGTCTGTACCCACGTATTTTAACTGGAACAAATTCAATGGTATTGTTAAAAGACATAACAATTTTCTAATAAACACTGTTCGGAAATTTTTAAATGTCAAAATTTCATTACAAAAGATTCTTTAAATAAAATTGTGACATTTAAAAAATCTTGACTCTTACTCGACATCTAAAATATTTCTCCTGTTCGGCAAGGTATTCCTTTAATTCGTCTTCAATCTGCTGTATTGTCTGCAGCGCACTGTCATACTCTTGGTCGACCCCCCGCCCCGGAAGTATGCGACCTTCTTTCTCCGCCTCTTGCTGATTAAATGCTTCCTGAAATTTTGATATTCACTGCTGTTTATGTACAAAATACTATTTATGCTATATTTAACAGAAACAGAAACTTTTTTATTCAATATAGATTATAAATAATACTTATTGAAAGTCACTCTTTTGTATGATTACCACTGGTTCGAAAAAAAAACCTCTGTCCTGGGAAGAACCAGCAAGAAACCCAGCGGGACATTTTTTTTAAATAACAGCTTACAATCATGTATGTTACACACATTAACAACACAAAAAATTAGAAATAGCTTGGTAGCGATCACCTCATTTCCAGGGGTTATTATCATCTATAAATTCATTAATATTATAATAACCCTTTTTATACAAACTTAGTTTAATAAAGTTTTTGAACTTTAAGCAGGTCAAATTTTGTATATTTTCTGGAATTTTGTTGTAAAAGCGTATACATCGCCCCAAGAATGAATTACTGACTCGAAGGAGTCGAGTAACTGGTACTACTAGCTTGTGTCTGTTCCTAGTATTTACAGAATGAATATCACTTATTTTTGTAAAACTACTTTTATTTTTGTGTACGTACATTACATTTTCATAAATGTATTGAGAGGCCAAAGTTAATATATTAATTTCCTTAAATTTTTGTCGCAGCGACTCTTTAGGCTTTAAATCATAAATTGCTCTTATGGCCCTCTTCTGTAAAACAAATATAATTTCAGTGTCAGCTGCGTGTCCCCATAGCAAAATACCATACGACATTATGCTATGGAAATAGCTAAAGTAAACTAGTCTAGCTGTTTCAAAACTAGTTAGACTTCTAATCTTTTTTACGGCTTATGCTGCAGAACTAAGTCTGCTTGCTAGTTTTAATATATGGGGGCTCCATTGAAGCTTCGCGTCTAGTGTGATTCCAAGAAAAATGGTGGTATCTCCAAGACTCAGTTTCTCCCCATTTAAAATTACATTGGCATTTAATTGTTTGACATTTGGTGTCATAAATTTCATACATTTCGTCTTAGTGCCATTTAAATGCAAATTATTAACATTGAACCAAGTTACTAATTTAGATATAGCATTATTTACTTCGTCATATTTTAGCAATTGTCGACTTAATTTGAAAATTAAAGAAGTGTCATCTGCAAATAATACTATATCATGGTTATCTTCTACTATGTAAGGTAAGTCATTAATGTATACAAGAAACAGAAAGGGGCCGAGAATTGAGCCTTGAGGCACGCCCATTTGTACCATCGACCCGAAAGAACTCATACTGTTAATGACAACTTTTTGCGTTCTCTTACTTAAATATGAAATAATTAATTTAAGAGCATCACTTCTTACACCGTAGTGTTGAAGTTTCCTGATTAATGTTTCATGGTGAGCACAATCGAAGGCTTTGGATAGGTCACAAAATATACCCAAAGCATCCTGTGAATTCTCCCATGCATTAAAGATATATTTAATCAGCTCAACACCGGCATCAGTTGTCGAGCGACCCCTTGTGAAACCAAATTGATTTTTATGAAGTAAATTATTTATATTAAAGAAATTTAACATTTGATCAAGAATAATTTTTTCAAAAATCTTACTAAGTGTTGGTAGTACAGAAATAGGTCTAAAATTGGCGGGGTCTAATGTACTACCAGATTTAAATAAAGGTATTACTTTACTATACTTCATTAAATCAGGAAACACACCAGATTCGATACTAGTATTAAAAATAATAGCTAAATGAGGCGCGATTATATCTATTATAGACGCAATAACTTTAACGGAAATCCCCCACAGATCCGCAGTTTTCTTAACATCAATAGTTTTAAAATATTTTACAATATCTTTTGATGATACTTTATGAAATGCAAAATTCTTTGTACACGCATTTACATTTTGTTTAAGTAATGATTCGGCGACCGCAGGAGAAGAATTCAGTGACTTAGTGGTTAATATCGAAATACCAGTAAAATATTTCTCAAAAACTATTGCAACATCCTGATCTGATTCGGTTAATTTGTTACTAACACTTAACTGGTAGTTTGAATTGCGAGAGTTGATCTTACCAGTTTCGCTATTAATTATACTCCATGTCATTTTAATTTTATTGGAAGCCGTCTTAATTTTAAAACAATATTCTTTGTCGGTTTCATTTAAAAATAACAATAATAATGTAATTATATAACATATGTAATTCTTTATTACCCAATAACAGTTGGACTTAAGCATCTCATATTGAAGTGAAATTAAATATTTTTCTTCGACGCAAGAAAATATATTGGTTGTAAAATTTATTTTTTTCAAATCTACAACCGTTGCGAAATGAGATTCCTTTGATCGGAGGAGAAATCCCCTATTTTTTTTTTGGCGTTTAACATATCCATTGGTTACTAAGGCATGGTCAATGAGGCATTTCTTTATCAGTACATAGCGGACCCGAGCAGACCAGTCCGCACAAGCAGCATTAGTTCACAAGAATGAAGCACGTGGCAGCCATCGCTCTCCTCGACCATATTAAAGGAAATTGGACGACCGTTTACAAAATGCCACCAGACCTTAAGTGAACATGACATGTCTCCCCACAAAACAGAAGATAGTTTATCAGAAACAATTGTAGCTGCTACCTTCAATTCGGTTTACAGAACTTTCAATTTTGTTTTTTTTTTTAATGGGATAAGTGTGACAAACGAGCACACAGTCCACCTGATGGTAAGTGGTTGCTGTGATCCATAGACATCTACATTTATCCTCGATTACAAATCAAAATACAGATGCGTTGTTACCCGTGAGGACTAAGATGGAATGCCTCGTTTCCAGTAAAAAAGGTCTCCGGTTCTCTACACTCACCATACGAAACAGCAGCATTAAGCTGCTATTTTACGCTGGTATTCTGTGAGAGCATGGTCTCCTTCCCCGGTCGAGCCGACCCATTCGTGTTACAACTATACCATAAATATAGCTGCGCAATGACTCTACCACGTACAAAACGTTAGTTGCATATCGTTACATTGAATGAGGGCTTGGCCGTAATGCCACGCTTGGCAGGAGGATTGGCAGTATAGATCCAGATGTCTCGCAAATTTTTACGCCGTCAACAAAAGAACAAGCAAACCTACATGTCTGAGAAATACTTTTCAAGGAAATGTAAAAGAGCTATCCAACTTACTACTGGTGGAGAAGAATAACTTTACCATGTTACTTTATCCTTAATATCAATAATCACATCACTCAGTCAGTGTGTTTTGTACCTATTTTCCTCTTATTCATCAAGCGGTAACAGTCCATTACTGTTGTAGGAAAGCTTTGTTATTACCGCTACGCATGAAGAGGGAATCCGCGAAAGCAGTATCAGGTATCACCCACCTTTGACGTTGCTTCCTTCGGTCTAGGTATTTTAAGGTTGGCGTAAACGAAATGGTTAAATTGTCATTTATCGCTAGCCATCTAAAATCTTACTTAAATTTCCCTCCTGACATTCTCATAGGATATGGATTCACATAGAGGTGCTGGATTCGCATTAACCGATTCGTTGCGGCACCGATTTTCGACAACTTTTAGCTGTGGCGGCGAACAACTATTTCATTCAGAAGTTGATGACACGCCATTTGTGCCATCAGCCATTTTTTTAAGCTTTTTTCACTTGTTGAGACCTAATTAAGTTTAGTTGACATCAAACATCAGTTACAAATGGAAGGATACTTGTTTTTAGTGGGTAACTACGTGTTTTTCTACGTATTTTCTTTGAAACTTTTTTATGCAGAGATTACGAACCTTTTGTACTATTTGTGTTTTATTAAAAAAAAAGTTATATAAGTGGGTACAGCTAAATCCGACGGATCTGCGTGGAGGTGGGTCAAAATCCCAACAAGAGAGAGAGGAATTTTGGGATAGCATGAGAGAGGTCTTGAATAAATGAATAAAATAAATGCGGAGAAAATGAACGGATCGTGATGTTAGGGGACTTTAATGGATGGGTTGGAGTAAAGCGTGATGGGTATGAAGGAGTTCTGGGTACGTTTGAGGACGAGAGAGTGAATGACAATGGGAGAAGCCTGCTTGAAGTATGCTTGGAATGGAATCTGTGCGTGGCCAACACAATGTTTGACCACAAAAAGATCCAATTGTATACAAGAGATGAGGGTGAGTCTAGAAGTATGATTGATTTTGTAATTGTGGATGAAAGACTGAGGAAGAAAGTGCTAGACACTTCGGCATACCGTGGTGTAGGCCTCGACACAGAGCACTTCCTGGTCATAGCCCGAATGCGTGGCCTCTTTAAACGGTGGCGACACCGAGGGGCTGAGCCTACGAGTGTTTTGGACAGAGTAAAAGTGGAAAATCTACAAGAGAAAGACGAGTATGTAGAGAAGCTGAAAGAAAGTTTTAAAGGGATAGAAGAGATAGGAGTGATTGAAGATTTGTGGGAGACATTTAAGAAAGGGGTCGTAAATGTTGCTATTGAGGTATGCGGGGTAGCTAAAAGAAGGAAACGAAGAAAGAATGATAACGTGTGGATGGATAAAGATGTACAAAGGGTTGTGCAAGAAAAGAAGAAAGCGCGGTTGGATTGGTTAGCAAAAAAAGCTAACCAAAAAGTTCAAAAGGCAGCGGATGACGAGATAAAGGAAGCACGAACGAAGTATAAAAGATTGAAAACAGCAGCGAAAGAAATTGTGTCTAAAAAGAAAGAAGAACGAAAGGATGATTTCGATAGGAGGCTCATTGAAGATTTCCAGTCAAACATTAAGTTTTTCTGGAAATCCATCAAAACAGCCAGAGGAAAAACTTCTACCTCGGAGCTGAGTACAATCAGGAGTCAAGATGGGAGCATTATAAAAGGAGAAGAATGTGTGTTAAAGAGATGGAAAGAGTATTTTGAAAGTTTGTTTGAAAGAGAGGAAGTGCAGGTACAGCATCTGCCACCCTCCACGGAAACTAATATAAATGTTGATGAAAATGAGATAAGCATGGATGAAATAGTGTAAGCGTTGAAAAGTATGAGATTAGGTAAGGCTGCCGGGTATGACAGGATTACCGTCGAGATGCTGAGGACTGAACAGGGCCTGGTGGCTAGTCAGCTGTACCGCCTTTTCAATCTGTGCTGGCGAAATGGGCAAGTACCGGGAGACTGGTGCAAAGCCGTAATCGTGCCATTGTATAAGGGAAAAGGGTCACGGCAGGACTGCATAAATTACCGCGGTATAAGCCTTCTCAGCGTCGTCGGTAAATTGTATGCGAAAGTGTTGATTGAAAGGGTTGTGAATGAAACAGACGAAAAACTATGGGATGCACATGCGAGATTTAGAAAGGGAATGGGATGTACGGATCAGGTCTTTTCCTTGCGGTGCATAGCCGAAAAGTGTTTGGCTAAAAACAAGAAGGTCTACTGCGCGTTCGTGGATCTAGAAAAGGCCTATGATAGAGTGGTGAGGGATGAATTGTGGTCAGCACTGTCCGTGAACGGTGTGAGCAGTATCCTCATACGAGCATTGCAATCTCTTTATCGAGATTCTAGTGCTTGTGTAAGGATAAACGGGGCATACACTGAATGGTTTAATGTTGAAAAAGGTGTTAGACAGGGATGTGTAGCGTCACCGTGGCTGTTTAATCTGTTCATGGACCGAGGAGTTGCAGGAGATGGTAACTGCTATGAGTGGAGCTTTTGTTAGAAAGGGAATGAAGATGAATGTAAGGAAGACGAAAGTGATGGTGTTTGAAAAAGATGAGGCAGTGACAGTTTGCAATATCGTGATTGAAGATGAAGACAAGAGATGGAAAGTGTGAGTGATATCGAAAGAAGAGTGAATGCAGGAAACATGGTGAATGGAGCTTTGCACTTCTTTATGAGCAGTCGGAAGGTGTCTAACAAGGCTTGTTTGGCTGTGCATTAGGGGGTGTTGGTTCCGACACTCATGTACGGAAGTGAAAGTTGGGTATGGCAGAAGAAACATGAAAGCAGAATAAATGCAGTTGAGATGAGAGCGTTAAGAAGTATGATAGGAGTTAAACTGAGTGACAGGATAAGAAATAGTGAGATAAGGAAACGTTGTGGCCTGAAAGAAGATGTAGTGACAAAAATTGAGAAAGGTATGCTGAGATGGTTTGGCCATGTCGAGAGAATGAATGAAGAACGATTGACGAAAAAAGTGTATAAGGCGAGTGTGAATGAAAGTGTTGGAAGGGGTAGACCTAGGCGGACATTTCTAGACCAAATCAGGGACGTCTTGAAAAAAGGCCAGGTCAAGAGTACCCTAAACCGTAGAGCATGTATGAAGGGAATAATGAAAGTGGATGAAGCGAAACAAGTATGTAAGGATCGTAGCAAGTGGAAAGAAGTGGTCTGTGCCTACCCCTACGGAAAAGAGGCGTGATTATATGTATGTATGTACAGCTAAATCACCCTTGAAAACCTTGGTTTTTATTAAATTAAACTTTCACCTAATAATAAAATTTGTAAATATCAAACAATCAAGAACATTAATTTGGAAAAAAATAAGGGTTATGATTCATTGATTTACAAATGTTAAATATTATTTAATGTTATACAAATGTAAGTAAGAATAGCAAAACAAGTGTTTTCAAAAGGAAAAAAACGCCGGCGCTATACGGCGGCAGATTGACAAGTGACTATTTATTAGCGAACTTTTATGTATAAACGGTTTCGAACAGTTCAAACAAAAATAAACCTAATACTATACCACAAGAGCACATGGTACTTCGTAGGTCTATTCGGCCATATGATAGTAATAAGACGGCAGCTCAACCATTTTAAGCAAAATTAAACAATAAGACAAACGCATTTTTTTTTAACAGGAGGCTTGTTTTGCAATAATTTATTTACAACTTGAGTTTGTGAGCGATCGCAATGAGTGCTATTATTTGTTACATATTAGACTTTTTTTCCACGACATGATTTAAAGCCCACAAAGTAAAAAGAGTACCATGTAAAGTTAAAAAAAGGTTGTCAACCCCTAAAAATTTCAAATTTTCAAAATATCCAGAAACGAAGCCGTATGCATGAACTACTTGCAAAATAATGAATATTTTGTTCTGGATAAATTTTCCAAAAACGCAATTTGAGCGAGTTATAACGATTTTTAAAAAGACACGAATCGCGTGTCATACGTCACACACAAAAGTAATCGATTACTGAACCGGTTAACCGCCACTACATGGCAGCACATACATTAAAAATATGAATACGTAAAACTTGGTTAGTTCTTATCTCTTTGCTTTCGCTTTGTTCATACACTATAGAAAATAATTTGCAAATAAGAAAAACAGAAGATACAAATGGTATACCTTAAAAAACTTCAAAGTGTCTTTATAATCAGGGAATTTTCCCTTCGGCTGGAATTGAGTCACTTTTTTCAACAGCTGTGACTCGACATCATAAAACAAATCGACGAGTTTCAAAACAGCAGTAAAACCTTGCAGTACCGAGATGAAATCCAGAACTTTGCGCTTTGAATATGTTTTTTCTTCATAGAAAATAGCACGCGCGTCTGGATGATTTTGTGCTCTCTTCAGATTTCCCAAGGCGTGTACCCTGTTATAAATAAATATGTATAAGTAGGATAGAGCTAGTTTGTATAATTTCTCTGCACTTACACTTTAAATACAATAATAAACAATACTAAATTTGAAATGAAATCAAACAAATATGGCAGATGCTTCACGCTTGACCAAAATAAAAGTGTCAGTGATGCAACATCACTTGATCAATTGAATAATTGAATATATTTGTAATAAAAGTATGAATACATTTAAAAAATATTTATGAGATACAAATTTAAATTGTCTTTATTTTCACTAATTAGATGAATTTTTATTTATTTTATGCAGCAGACGCAACACAAAAGGTTATTTGGATGTATATTTCATACGTGGTAGAGCCATGCTGCAGCTGTATTAGTAGTATAGTTGTAGCACGAATGGGTCGGCTCGACCGAGGACCGACCACGCTCTCACTGCTGTGTTTCGTATGGTGAGTGTCGAAAACCGGAGACCCTTTTTTACTAGAAAAGAGGCATTCCATCTTAGACCTCACGGGTGACAACGCATCTGTATTTTGATTTGCAAATGAGGATAGATGTAGATGTCTATGGGCCACAGCAACCACTTACCATCAGGTGGACTGTGTGCTCGTTTGTCACCCTATCTTATAAAAAAAATCATAAATTACTACTCCTGTACCTGTGTAATTAAACTATAATGAACTATCCCACAGCACCCATATGATAGATACAGAATGATATAACCGTCAGTCAATACTCAATAGTCAAAACAAGGTTTCAAAGTGATAAGGAATCTTCTTCATCAGTCCGTAAAAGCCTAGACATGGACCTCTCCCCTGAGGAAGGGTTTGGTCTTAATCATTACGCTTGGCAGGTGGATTGACTGTCATTGTGCCAGACAATTTGCATCTTTGATGAAACATCCTGATTTCAATAGAGAAGATGACTGGGTGCTACCATCTGCTTGGGATCCCATAATTTATAAAATTAAATCCAAACCCAAGCATACTACTGCAAGATTTCAAGATACTGTAAGCTCATTCTGCGTAGATCGGACCAAAAATTAATAATTAAAGATTGAAAGTGGCCTTCGTCAAACATCTCAATTTAATTTAATTTCAAGTGAATGTTGAAAAGCATATCGAGTAATCTGATATTAACCTTCATTCTAAATGATAATAAAAATTAAATAACATTATTTAATATAACTTTATTTTATGGTTTTACTTAAAAAAAATTGTCTTTTCTTTTAACAAAACTTAAATCACACGCGTTAATTTTGGTGTTGTACTCACCTATAATTTAAGTGTATATATATATATATATATATTTATATATATATATATATACCTAGTCAGGTCATAAATTTTGTCACATGTTTAATATAAAAAGATTGAAAAAAGTTTATTCATTATGTAACCATTTATGTACCAAAATGAACTTACAAAACATAGATTCTTATGACACTAAAGTTTATTCAAAATGACCTCCGTGATTTTGAATACAGGCCTTCAATCTGCGCGGCCAGTGGTCTATCGCAGCACGAACGAGGTCCATGTCAATATCGGCGGCTGCCTTAATCAAGGATGTCTTGAGTGACTCCAAATTGGGATGAGGCTTTGAGCACGCCTTTTCCTCCAAGTGTTGACATATCTTGTAATCTAACGGATTCAAATCTGGACTGGAGGAGGGCCAGTCTTGTGTGCTCTTCGCTCTATGAGCTGGCGCCGAATCTTGTTGGAATACCCAGTGCCTGTTATTGAACATGGTATGAGAAACAGGTTCCACAAGGTTCATCAGGACTGTATTTTGATACACAACTGCATTTGTTTTTACACCTTTCTCACAAAAATGTACCTCTGTTAAGCCCCAATAAGAAACTCCCAACCATACCATGAGCGAGGATGGAAAATGACCTCGTTGGACACGCGGAATACGGTTGCTCGCTTCTTCACTACTGTGTGCGTACACCTTATCATTTTGTTTGTTGTAGCTCTCTTCTACGGTAAAATTTTTTTCATCCGAAAAAAGAATTTCCCGATATTTTTTTCCCGCGTACCGCTTCAACAAAGCGCGGCATCTCTTCAGTCTCAGGTCCATTAGACGAGCATTCAAACGATGTCCTGTTTTTCTTTGATATGCCCGAAGCCCTAAGTCTTCATTTAACACCCTTTTCACCGTGGTTTTGCTTAACCCCATCTGAAGGGCCAACAGTTTCTGCTTACGTTTGGGATTTCTTTGAATTCGCGCCTTCACAGCTTTTATCACTGCTGGAGTCCTAACAGACCGAGGGCGACCACTTCTTGACCTGTCATCTACACTAGTCTTCATTGTATCGTTTGATGGTACAATAAACGAATCTTTTGGTTATGTTCAAATTTTTCATTTTCATGTCAAAAATTTGAATTGGCGCGTAACCGCAACGATGCAACGCAATAACTGCAACACAGTCTTCTTTAAGCGTCCACTCCATATTTAAAAATGAGTAAAATTCTAAAAAGTATACAGTTTTATTTTCATGAACAATTCGAAATTCGAATTCAATAAACTTTTTTGTGGCCAGCATTCTAAAAGAAAAGTATTTACTGATGGGTGCTATTAAGTGCCCAAAACGTCGGGAATTAAAAATGATAAAATGAAACTTTTAAAAGCTTACTTGGCTAAAAGCCTTTCCAGATCCGGAAGCGTCGTCAAAATGTTTTTCACATCTTGACACAGCTCCTGATTTTCCAGTAACATCTTAACAGCATCCTGGCGCTCTTTTATCGCTGTAAGACTGCAACTCGGCGAACAAACCCATTGGTATAGTAATCTAATAAGAGATATTTGAGATTAATTAATTAAGGAGAAATTATTTTAAAATTTTTGTAAAAAGTTATTGTATTAAAAAAAATTATAACTAATTCGTGTTGATTTCAACATTGTATTAACCTTTTGACCACCACGCCAAAAACGCATTACCGTGTCCTGTACGCCAAAGCGAAAAGTGAACAAAAATACCTACGAAAATAATAGTGTTGCCAAGAGTTGATATATCGATAACACAAAATAACTTGTTTTTGTAGGTTTTTTTATGCAATAAATGACTCTTTATAATCTGGTATGTTTTATTTAATCTTGTGTTGTCTTCCACTCTTTTGATATATGCACTTTGTACATAAATAAAATACAAACAATAACAATAAAACAGTAGTAAGCCATAGCACTACTCTCCATCGTGATGACGTCACTGTCACGACTGGACGACAACGGCGTAGCTGACCCTCGTTTTTGAAACTTTCTTAGAGATGTAGCCGTGTCGCACGTTGTGTATCGATTTTGAAATCGATCTAATCAAAATATACAGACATCGAATCAAAATATTTTATGTGTCGGGGAGGCGTAAGCTAAGTGAAGCACAGAACAAAAGTCTTACGCTCTTACGCCAATGGGGGTTTGATTTGATGCTGATGCTGCCAGATGATTTTGAGATTGAGAAAAAAAATCGCACAACACAAAATGAAAAATTGCTCTTCATACCTTAAGTAAAAAAACACGTTTATTATTTGTAATTTTATATTATTAAAATAAAAAAGGTACATAATTATTCACTAATCAACAATTATATATAATTATTCGCACTAGGTAAATCAGTCAGAATCGTTCATGTTGCACTGCACTACTTTTCCCGCTAATCACTTATGACGTCATCAGGGTGTCGTCTATCCTTGACCACAGCGCCCAGTGAACTGATTTTCGATGACCCGCTAAGGATGCGCCTGAGTTGAGATATTAGATTTATTATGCGAAGATGATTTGGTAATATTTTTTTATTCATGTAGCTAATTATAGTTTTATTTTTCTAACCTTTTGTTTTATTCATATATCAATAATAATAGAAAAAAAATAACACGTTTGAGCTGAATTTTAGCTATTTTTCAAGAAATCTATGCCTCCCGCGCACGGCACTAGCGGTCAACTATAGACGACTTTAGCGTGCTGGACATAGTATTTGCTTAGATAAAAATCATTTTTTTTAGTTCAATGTTTCTTAGTACTTGTGGCTCTAGAAGACTTGTTTTTTATACTCACATGTTGCTGGGTTATTATTTTTTGAGAAGTGTGGAATTAAAATACCAGTAATAATTTTCCAATATCTATATTTCATATTTTTGTGGGCCGGGTTTTTTGTCAACTATAGACGTCTTTGAGGCTCAGGGCCCGCAGGTGCTGGTCAAGTATAGGCAACTTTGGCAGTCAAAAGGTTAATAAGAGTCAAATAACTTTTGAAATAAACATTACTTAAATAATGAAGCTGTTGTCACTTATTATGCTGTCGCTGAAATTAGCATAACTGGCAGCCCCGAACTGGGTGATGTCACAATGTTTCCAGTTTCATTTTCGTAATCTAATCTACAAGAGGTACATACATACTACATACTACTATTAGATACTATTAGATAAAATAAGCAATACATAGGCCAGTGTTGGTCCTCCCCCCCCCCCCCCCTTTTAAATTGAGTGATGACTGAAACATTCAAGGTGTGGATAGGTGCAGGTGGATCAGGACAGCTTTGAGGAAATTTGTGGGAGAGGCCTGTAATGATTATGATCATAATATAAATCAATTGATACTATACCTTTTGCCCATAGCAGTAGAGCAGAAATTCAATTTATCGTATAAGCAACCTTCATCTTGCACGATTCTCAGATTTCGCAGAGTGATTGCGTCAAGCACCATGATATTCCCACCTCGCCACTGATTTTGAGCCTTCACCTCTGGCGATAGGGTTCTATTTATGACATCAGGTGGGGAGTAGGAAGTAAACTGAGCCATATCCAATATTTGTATGTCAAGTAAGCAATCGGTTAGAAATGCAACACAGCCTCCTAATGCCTTGATGGCTAAGTAGGAGTTCGCGGCTGGGGTGAGACCTAAAGCGTCACCTGGAATAGCAAAAAAAAAATTTTCTTTACTAAACTAAATATGATATGCATTTTTAGTAATTTGCATGCTTTTGAGATGATTGAGAAATTTTAAAACTTGAAAGCTTTTTAAAAACTAGTAGTTTGAGTAACAGCCTACATTTCCTACAGCTGGATCTCTTGTTATCACTGAGAGGGTTTTGGGGGCAGGAAATAGACCGCTGCGAGTTATCGTCCGCATTGGCGTAGTACTGCGTTTTGGCAGACTTCACATATCCTCGAATTCAATATTATTTGTTCGATTTACTCACGATTGTTTTAAAAAAAAACAAATACAATTTTGTCAAATTTGGTTTGTTCACTCTCTATGAAAATTCGAGATAAGCGCTTTCCTGTGTTCTTAGTAGTGTTACATCAATAAATATCTTTCTTTAAGCTTTATCAGTATACAACAAGGAAGAAATCAGTGCTAACCTTCATGTAAAAACATTTTCAATCCTGCAGGCCAGTCGCCATCGGCATTGGTCTTATAGTACTTCTCGGCCAATATCTTTAACGTCTTTTCTGGTGTCCACATTGCTAATGGTTCCCTACGTGCATTATGGCAGTGTGTCGTCAATAGCTTAGAAGTACGTGATGTTGTGTGCTTGCGGTCAAACACTAACTATAAAGATAAAATTGAATACTTCAAAATTTAATAAATTTTAAAAATAAAAATGTTAAAAGAAAATCTTTCGTCGCTACAAGTGTGGACACGGCACAAACATCATTTTATTTCTGTGAGGTTTATGGAACAAGAAAGAGTACGCCACTTTTGAGAAACACTGAAGAAAGTATTCTTCCCTTTTTTTTAATTACTTAATGGATTGATGTGGCAGTCAGCATCATTTAGAGAATTTATTGAGAAGGGGTTTTGGCCATAAATATTATATAATTTATGTACATGTATGTAGGAATAGTAATGGTTTTTGTAAATGTTTTGCAGTCTAGTCGTAAAAAGATACGAACACATTTATATACAATGCGTCATTCGAAAAATATTTACTGAAGCCCAAGCTAGCAAACTAAATTAAACGCGGGATTGCCAAAATTGTGACTAAATATTAAGCTAATTATAAAGATTTAATAATAGTCTATTTTAAAGTTCTCTCTGAAATTCTATACACAGTGTGAGTCCTTATAATGTGCACATATCGAAATGAGGGAATCTATGTTTCATTTAATCGAAGGAAAAAGTATTTAAAAAAACTAAATATTTTTTATGGATTTTTTAAAATTTTTGTTTGCTGCTGTGACTCCAGTGTAAACCAAACGGTGTAACTTTTAAACTAAATAATCTATCGCGATGAAACAAACTCCATAATAATTGGAAGTAATTGGGCGTTCTCATAAAATAAAATTTATGGAAAAAGAACTACCCTCAATTTAAAATAATCACATGTTTTTAGCAAAAATTTGTTTTTTTTTTTTGCATCAATTTATACAATAATCTTAAAATGTTTCAATAAAACACCTGTATTAGGTACCTTTTTTATTACTTAAAGTTATTCTTCATCGTATTAGCTACCCAACAGTAAAAATTGTATGTTATAACTCAATCATACCATTTTCTATCAAGTGTTAAAACATGGCACCCCCAACACGCCTTTTATTGTTCATAAGGATGGTTTATTTGGGATGATAATTAATACAAAAGAGTTCAATTAACCATTTATTATTTTACACAAAATTTTATGCATCAGGTGCACAAAATGTCTACCTCGTTGTTGTAGGCACAAAGATCTAAAATTTGTAGCATAATGGGCAGGGCATCCGGCCATCTGCAGAAACATCCTTCGACGCAAAGCCATTGGTAGATCCTCCAATAATACAGGTAGTTCATTAGTCAATAGACTTAAAAATCTTTCAGCAGTCAACGTTCTCCGCAATATGACTGGTTGAATCAACATGTCATCGATAAGACCAGCTCAAACATTTACTGAAAATCTTACTTGAAAAGTCGATGAACGTTTTAATTTCGGGTTTTCATCCGCACGGCACCATTTGTGTAAATTTCGACAGTTAGTCATACCGTCTCTAGTGAATGTCGGTTCGTCCATCTATAATATGGTTTTCAGAAAGTTTAGATTTGCTCTGGTTTTCCTTTGAATCCACGTAGACATCACGCACCTTGGACGCCAGTCTACGTCTTCATGTAGATGTTGCACCCTTTGGTAGTGATAAGGATGCAATCCTTCTTTCCTTAAAATGCGCCATACTGATTTTTGCGATATTCCGTGACGAAGAGACAGCCGTCTAGTACTTATGGATGGATCAGCAAACAAATCACTCATTACTGCTTGTTCAGTAGCCACATCAATAATTACTTGAGGAGGCTCGCGATGATCTCTACTTGATCCAAGTCCAGTGATCGACAAACTTCTGTGAACTTCCTGGAAATTGCGGGCAGATGGCACTGGTTGCCTGTTAGGAAACGCAGCTATGTAAGCTGCGCGCGAATCTCTGGCACTTCCTCGTCCCACTCCATAGTAAAAATTAATGTCGGCAATGTGTGCCGGAGAGAATTCACTTAAACGCTGCATCATGTAGCAGTGAACGAAAGTTAAGAAACTCTGGTACCAGCGAACGAAAGTAGTAACGAAACACATGTAGCAGCGCCGAATAATTCGGACTCAAAATTTACAGAAAAGTCCTACCTGCTAAACAATTATTTATTAGTGCATAGCCGTGCGCTGAATCTTTTTTAACAGCCGATAAGAAATTATTGGATTGAGTTAAAAACATGCAATTTTTACCATTAGGTGGCTAATACGATGAAAATTAATTTAAAGTAATAAAAACGGTAGGTAATGACGGCGTCTTATTGAGAAATTTTGACGATTATTAATAAACCATCCTTAAGAGAATAATGAATGGCGCGTTCGGAGTGCCATTTTTAACACTTGATAGAAAATGTTATGATTGAGTTATAAACATGCAATTTTACTATTGAGTAGCTAATGCGATGAAGAATAACTTAAAGTAATAAAAAGTACATAAAAGGGGCGTCTTATTGAGAAATTTTACGATTATTGCAAAAAATGATGAAAAAACAACGATTTTTGCTATAAAACGTGTTTATTTTGAATTGAGGGTAGTTGTTTTCCATATTGCATGCCGAGCGCAAAGCGCACAAGTATGTTCTACTAGCGCCTAAAAATCAAGATTACAACGTTTTGTCGCATGAAATCGTATCTAGCAATCATACATATAAAATATAAAAAGCACATTGTCAGAAAGATAAATGATTGTTGAACTTATTATTTTTTTTAAAATCGATTAATTGCTATTTTTTATATAAAAGGGGGTTTTAATGGCTTATGGTGTGGATATGTATGGCTTTGTAAACACGATAACTTTTGAAAATATCAATTGTTCAACTCAATCTATTTTTAAAACTCTTCATCTATCATGTGGGAAGCCATTGGATGTAAATGGCAGAAAAACAAATTTCATACATACTTGATTATTATAATAATCAGAGATTTTTATTACAATATTTTAAAAGCACAGAATAAATAATAGGAGTACGTAATAAAAGTAAGTAGGATGTAATATTTATACTTTAATACGACTTGGACTTTTTGGAGTGACATGAATGATGATATGATGATCATATGAGCATTATGAGTCGTGCACTTTGGATTTTCCAAACTTTTTGAAATTGAAGTTTGACATAAAATTACCGGAAAATTGAAAATATAATAAGGTTATTAGTGAAAACATGTGTGTATTTAAACTACTTTAAAAAATTCCGTATAATCATGCTATACGTAATTTTTTTAATGCGAAGGCATGCTCAATTGGATTTACCAATTTTTTATTTTATGAGGACGCTTAATTACTTACAATCATTATGGAGTTTGTTTCATTGCGTTAGATCATTTAGTTTAAAAGTTACACCGTTTTGTTTACACTGGTGTCACAGTAGCGAACAAAATCTTTAAAAATTTCATAAAAAATATAAAAAAGATATTTAGATTTTTTGAATATTTTTTCCGTCGATAAAATTAAGCATAGATTCCCCTCATTTCGATATTGCTCATTATAAAGACTCACACTTGGTAAGAGTAACCTCTAGAAATTATGCTTATCAAAGGTATTTGAATAGACATTTTATAAAAAGGATAACATGCAGTAGTACTTACTAAAGCAGGCGGGAAATGCGCAACGGTCGTCAGCAACCTTGAGGAGTGTTTGTCATCATGGAACTGTCCAAGGTGGAACTGTCCTATTGACGTGTCCACGAAGCAGACTCCGTATGTGCTGCATCCATTGCTTTCCTGTAAATTTAAATAATCACATCTCTGTTCACCTTCCATTCTTGCAATGGATCAGATTTTGGATAATAGCGAAAAAAACATACAAGTCGTTAGGAGGTATGCCCTTGGACAAATAATAAGCAGATCAATTTGAGCTACTTCACTTATACGAGGAGTATCTATTTCAGTTTAATTTTGTTACGGCTTCAATTGCATCGATCGTAATTTTATTTTTAGAGTATAAGAGTGACAAGCGAGCACACACACTTACACAGGTAAGTGGATGCTGTGGCCCATAGACATCTACATCTATCTTCGTTTGCGAATAAAATGCAGATGTGTTGTCAGCTGTGAGTACTAAAATGGAATGCCTCTTTTCCAGTGAAAAGGGTCTCCAGTACTCTACACTCACCAAACGAAACACAGCAGCATTAAGTTGATATTTTACGCTGGTATTCTGTGAGAATGTGGTCGTTCCCAGGTCGAGCCGACCCATTCGCGCTACAACTGTAGATATAGCTGTAGCATGGCTCTACCACACATAAAAATACAATAATAACGTAATTATAGAAGTTAAGAGCTTAAAATACACTATCGCTTTTTACCCATACTTTCATCTATTAAAAATCACAAACCAACATACGATTATTCTGGTTAATAAATTAGTTTAATAATTAATAGGGATTTTTGTACAAAATAATGTTTAATAATTATGTTACAATAGTAATCATGAAGGTTATTTTAGTCGATTCCTAAAACAAATAAAATAATTTGTAAGAGATTATATAAACATATACATATAACATAATACTATTATTATAGTTTTGTCGTGGCAGGTTAAGACAACACTTCACCTCATACTGTTCACTAAGAACTTTATAGTGTTCGATAAAAATATGCACTATGACAATGCCGTCGGCCATCTATTCAAAATCTTTAAAAAAAATCCATACCTCTTCAGCAATAGCGATTAAATAGACAGCAGCAGCATCAGCTGGCCCCGGGTCTTGCAGACCATACACCTGTGCACCACGGACTGCCACTTGACAAATTTCGCGTCTCACTACCTTATCCGCTTTGCTTGTTTGTCCGTCTAGAAAGGAGGAAAAAATGTTATGAATGGTGCAAATGTGTTATTTTAATAATCATAATAATGACAAATTCCTGGTTGAGTTGAATCATGGTGACAACTTACGAATAATCTCCTAATAGCATGATATCAAATGGGCAGTACAAATATTGTGCCACAAATAATACAATTTCAATTGTGTCACTACTGTAGAATTTTCAGTGTGGTAGAGCCATGCTGCAGCTATATTATGGCTGCACCACATATTGGTTCGACCGGAAAATGAAACTCTCACAGAGTACCAGAGCAAAATAACATTTTAAACCTTGTGTGTTTCATATAGTAAGTGAAGAGAACTAAATGATCTACGTTTACGAGTTATGTAAATCTCTCGACAAATGGAGTGCAAATAGAACTATGTGCTATAAATAAAACTCCTAACCCAAGTAAAGTATTTTCTTAACTTGATTTACTTACATTTTTTACACCTCTCCTGCATCATTTCTGGTGTTTCAGTCTGCTCAACACGGGCAACTTTATATCCTTTTGACACTAAAGTAGACGCCATACGCCCGTATGCACTTTCAGGGAAACCTGAATGTGCAAACTGACCCTAAAATACACACAAATCTCAAATCAATTTTTGATTGACTAACTTACCTTAATCACTCCACATGCTTAAAGTGTTAATTAAATGTGTTGACCGAACATTATGAAGAAACTGAGGCCTTTTGTACATAAACACGCACTCGCACTCGTGCACTCACGCACGCATGCGTTCACACTAAATGTTGCCATTAATTAATATAAATAATAATAATTAATATAATAATTTTTAGTTCCTTCACATTTATTCTTTATAGAACAATTAGGTTAGCTGGCTGAGAATGCCAGTGGCGCTAAATTGGCCTTTGTACAAAAATATTTTTATGCAATAAATAGAGTAATAATAGTGCATGAGAATAAGAATGAATAGACGACAGAGGGTAATAAAACAGCAAATGAGCATCTTCCCGATAATAACCCAAGATAATAAGAACTGGGTTGCTAACCCACCTGTTAACCCATTCAATGCCTTTGGCGCCCATGGGCGGCCTGACAGTCAATATTCACATGCCAAGGACGCCCATCGGCGTCTTACTTTCAAAGCTTATTTTCTCGTTCAAACAACAATGAAAAGACCTAATTATTTTTTAATGCTACATTTTACAATTATCTAGCTATACTCGAAACGTCCTGTGGATATCAGCGATTTAAAAAAATAATGATTCTAAGGTTATACGCCGTAGCCGCCCATCGGCGCCTATAATAAACAATCAGAGTTTATCAACCTTTTCATGTTTTCAATGAAAATCACTATTTCTTAGCTGACGACTTAGAAAAATATAAATAGGCGTTTTATACAGGGTGGAATTGAAGTTGTTTGTAGCATATAGTTGGCAGTGGTATAATCACGTGAGTTGAAATTTGTTATTTGGTTAGTTTATCTGCATTAACTTCTCAAATTGTTGATAAACTGGATAGTAAATCAAAATGTCTGGCAATATTTTTGGATTTGAAAACAGCGTTTGACACTGTCTCTATCCCCATCCTTGTACAGAAAATGGAAGATGTGGGTATACGAGGTATTCCACTTGAGCTACTTAAGGACTACCTTATGGGGAGGGCACAGAGAGTAAAAGTGGGTCATACTATAAGCGGTCGAATGAATGTGGCTTACGGTACGGCTTAGTGTCTTGGGCCCAACCCTTTTCCTTATCTACATTAATGACCTCTGTAACATAAAGACTGGGGATGCTAGGATCTTTTCTTATGCAGATGACACTGCTGTGGTTTTTTATGGATCATCTTGGACTGCAGTGAAAACTGAGGCTGAAAATGGGTTATCAGAAATTGGTGAGTGGCTTAGAACTAATCTGTTGACACTAAACACACAAAAGACTAATTACATGTGCTTTTCAATTTTAGACAGTAATCAACCCAGTAATGATTTAAACATTCAAATACATATCTATGATTGTCATAGGGATGCTAACTGTCGCTGTCCCTCTATATCTAAGGTAGCATCAACTAAATAGCTTGGTATTATGCTAGACCGAAGACTTTCCTGGCAGTCGCATATTGATCTCGTCGCGACTAGAACACGTAAGCTGATGTGGATTTTTAAAATGCTGAGACATGTTGCCGACAAGAAACTTATCAACCAAGTGTATATGGCATTAGCTCAACCCATATTAACTTACTGTCTGACAGTTTGGGGAGGGGCTCTAAAAACTAAATTTCTCGTGGTTGAACGGGCTCAAAGAGCGTTACTACCGGTGATGTATTTTAAAAATCGTAGATTTGCAACACAAGCTCTATATTCCGTTGCTGATATCCTAACAATTAGAAAACTATATATTCTCCATACTGTAGTAAAAAAAAAACACAAGTCATTAAAATTTGATCCGAGCATATTGCATAAAAGAAGACATGGCCACAGTTAAACTTACTCATACTCAATTCGCAAGAAATCAATTTCAGTATTTGTCATCGTTATTATACAACCGCTCCAATCAAAATTTATATCTATATCCAGTGACGAGCAGGGAATGTAAAATAAATTTGACTGTTTGGCTTAAAAAACTACAATACACAGAAACTTGAACTTCTTAAATGATTCATATCAAGAACAGCAGCAAGGACTACCTGCAGTAGAAGAAAATTAAAGAAATATATAAAAATTAATAAATATATTAGAAAACTACAAAAATTAATTAAAACTAAAATTAATGTTAAAAATTATATAAATGTATGCAAAGAAAAGCAAGAACTAATTAATAAACTTAAAATATATTCAATTGAGGTGGAAAATATGAATCACTGTTATGAGACTGATATAGAGTGTCTAAATTCAACAATTTTATCACTTAAAAAGCTCTCTAGAAATTGTATCAAATAAATATGCATCGGCTCAAGATGAGATAAAAGAACACATATTGGCCATGAATGATCTGGTAAAATCATGTGAATATAATGAGGAGCGCTTTGACTCCTTAATAAAAAATCAGAGTGAGTATCAGCGCTCCATACCAGGTTCATCGGGGGCAATATGTGTAAATAACAAAGTTAACAGTAAGACCTCATTATTTTCACCTACACTCTATGACAGTGCCATGAAAAAGGATATAAACTTAAAAAGCAATGTAAATATTAAAAAAAATAAAGTTATTATGTATTGTGATGACATAGGCAAAAATTTGGGCATGATGTTAAGTAACTGTTTAAAAGGACATATGATCACTAATTATTGCATGCCTGGAGCATCCTTTAGTCATATAATGAATAAAGTTTTAGCTAGTAAATTTGGTCCTAATAGCACATTAATAATTCTTGTTGGGAGAAGAGGCAATGTAAACAAAAATCAATTATTAAAATATATTGATAATCTAAATACTTTAAATGTACATAAATTTATCTTGTTTACATTGCCTTACATACAGGGTTGGCCGCAGGAAAATAAAATAAGATATGATTTAAATTTATTAATGAATAACTTTTCATGTAATAATAATTTAAACTTGACATTTAATTGTTACAATTATAATGATAGAATTAATTTAATAGATATAAATAATTTAATTAAGAAATTTTTGACTAGAGATAGGTATTACCTATCAAAATATAATTTAAGACAGATAGCAAATGTGCTATCTTATTATTTATATATTAACTCAGCCAAGGACTTGGCTACACAGACATCTGCTTCTTTTGAGCAGTGTAATGACTTAATATGCCATTTGGAATCAGTTCCAAGTAATTTAAATTAGAAAATGAGACAATAGAGGTAATCTCTAGCAGTTATAATAACTTAAATAATTTAGAATGTAGCTTACAAATCTTTAATTGTATGACTCCACAGAGTAATAATGAAAATTGTTTACACCTGGTGCATCAAAATATACAAGGCATGATAGGCAAAGAGCTAGAAATTGAGTTGTTCTTAAATAACAACAATATTCATATCTTATGTATTACTGAACATTGGTTAAAAGCTTATAATTTAATGTTTAACTTCAGTAATCACCAGGTGGTCAGTTCTTTCAATAGAGATACGGTTTTAAGAGGTGGCTCCTTAATATTAGCTAGTAAATTATTATCATGTAAAGAACGTAAAGACATTGTGAGCCTCTCTGTTGAGCGAACTGTAGAAATGGCATGTGTTGAGTTTGAGCACCTCATTGTTGTGAGCGTCTACAGACCCCCATGTTGTACATATGATACTTTTGAAAACATTATGGAGGAAGTTTTTGCTAAGCTTAATAAACGGAATAAATCTGTTGTAATATGTGGAGACTTTAATATCAATCGCCTAGAAGCTTCCTCCATCAATATTAAATTTAGATCATTGTTTAAATCATATGGTCTTTTTAATTTATTTATAGAGCCAACGTGTATTTCTCAATCTAGTGCAACATGTATAGATAACATTTTTACAAATGTGAAGCCGTTGCATAAATGTATAATTCAAAAATTAAGTTCTGATCACTGTGGACAAGTAGTTTCGTTACCTTATGTTCACAAAAAGCAAGTAGATGAGAAAGTTGTGTCTGTTCCAGTAAATGCACGTCGCTTGGAGAAATTTAGAAGTAACATAGTGAAAAAACTTCCATCACTTTCATACCAAAATGATCCTAATTTTTTGTATGGAACATTATTTAAGCTTATTTGCAATGAATTTAATAATACTTTTACTTCTAAAACATTCTCCTTGAACAGTCGGAAGTCATTCAATGAATGGGCGACAGTAGGAGTCCATAAGAGCAGGCATAGGTTATATGATCTTTACCATGAAAGGTCATATAATCATAGCGTCGAATTTAGGGAATATGTAAAAAATCACGCCTCATTTAGCTATTATTTTTAATACTAGTATCGAATCTGGTGTGTTTCCCGATTTAATGAAGCATAGTAAAGTAATACCTTTATTTAAATCTGGTAGTACATTAGACCCCGCCAATTTTAGACCTATTTCTGTACTACCAACACTTAGTAAGATTTTTGAAAAAATTGTTCTTGTTCAAATGTTAAATTTTTTTAATATAAATAATTTACTTCACAAAAATCAATTTGGTTTCACAAGGGGTCGCTCGACAACTGATGCCGGTGTTGAGCTGATTAAATATATCTTTAATGCATGGGAGAATTCACAGGATGCTTTGGGTATATTTTGTGACCTATCCAAGGCCTTCGATTGTGTTCACCATGAAACATTAATCAGGAAACTTCAACACTACGGTGTAAGAAGTGATGCCCTTAAATTAATTATTTCATATTTAAGTAAGAGAACGCAAAAAGTTGTCATTAACAATATGAGCTCTTCCGGATCGATGGTACAAATGGGCGTGCCTCAAGGCTCAATTCTCGGCCCCTTTCTGTTTCTTGTATATATTAAAGACTTACCTTACATAGTAGGGGATAACCATGATATAGTATTATTTGCAGCTGACACTTCTTTAATTTTCAAATTAAGTCGACAGTTACTAAATTTTGACGAAGTAAATAATGCTATCTCTAAATTAGTAAATTGGTACGATGTTAATAAATTGCATTTAAATGGCACTAAAACAAAATGTATGAAATTCGTGACTCCAAATGTCAAACAATTAAATACTAATGTAATTTTAAATGGGGAGAAACTGAGTCTTGTAGATACCACCATTTTTCTTGGAATCACACTAGACGCGAAGCTTCAATGGAGCCCCCATATATCAAAACTAGCAAGCAGACTTAGTTCTGCAGCATATGCTGTAAAAAAGATTAGAAGTTTAACCAGTGTTGAAACAGCTAGACTAGTTTACTTCAGCTACTTCCATAGCATAATGTCGTATGGTATTTTGCTATGGGGACACGCAGCTGACACTGAAATTATATTTGTTTTGCAGAAGAGGGCCATAAGAGCAATTTATGATTTAAAGCCTAAAGAGTCGCTGCGACAAAAATTTAAGGAAATTAATATATTAACTTTGGCCTCTCAATACATTTATGAAAATGTAAGCTCCTCAGACCCGAGACCACTTTGTGTTTGGTAATGAAATAAAATTTTAAACGCAGACTTATAGACCCCTAAATGATAAAAAAAAAATATTTAAAAAAATTATAAGTTATTAGTTTTTTTTTTAATTGTACGTCTCCTATACAAGACTCTGGGTTTTAACATGTCAATTTTCTAATACTGTAATCAAAACGAAAAAATATGAATTAAAACGTTTATTAAAACAAAAACGTTACAGTTACTTAGACAGATTCATGATAGCGTTTGTAGCAATTTCGTCCTACTACAAGGCATAAATGCATGTTACAAGTAGAGCAAAACACTCTAGCTTTCTTGCTTTTACATCCTGGCATTCGGCATCTGTGATTGTCATTTTGTTCATCAATCAATGGCAAATGACCAGCCATGGCTGTCCTCAGTTGAACTGGAGGTTGAGGTATACATTTTCTTTTACGGCTCCAAGGTTGTGCTTCTTCTGTTGAGTCGTCTGAATCTACTTCATGAATTATGTGTATCTGTTCCCTCGCTGGTGTAAAATAAAGTAATGAATTTGCAATTTGCACTTTGAACTCCAAGTAGTCCAAAATGTTTTTTTTAGGGCATTCTAACAATTTAGCTTCATTCCTGTATACAAGCCATCCAGCAGCTGCCGCAAAGTCAAAGAAGTGGAAAATCAGACGAACAGTCCATTTTTTGGAACGTGCTCTAATTCTGTAAAAACTGATGACCCTGTCCAACATATCTACACCGCCCATCATGGTATTATATTGCTCTATTGCAAATGGTCTGTCAATTTGGATATACTGTTTAGTTTTTTTACACCAACGTCTGCATTTGTTGATGGGTTCTTTGGAATCAACAGATGATGCCATTATTACTGGTTTGTTATCAAACCACTTTAGACATGCCACATTACCGTCACTGCGAACGAGTTGATCCGAAGAACCACGTCCTTGTTTTCTCAACTCATTGTCAGTTTTGAAATTGCAGTTTTTAGGTATGTTTGCCTTTCTAAGAGTACCTGTTGCCTGCATCTTCTTTGAACGTAATTTGTCCAGTAAATCCAATGATGTAAAGTATCTGTCCATGTATAACTTAACTCCTTCAGGCAAAGTTTCAGATAACTTCAGCACAACTTTTCCGCCAATATCAAGACCTTCAGCTTCATTGGTTGTGAGTATTGTATCTCCTTTGCCCTCATACATGAAGAAGTCTAAAGGCACACCATCTGGAGTAGTGCACACGAAGTTTTTTAAACCACAGGGGTTTGGTTTTCCTCTTATGAACTGCCGCATTGATACTTGACCCCAGAAGGGTATCATCTGCTCATCTACACTAATATGTTGAGATCTGGGAGTTTCTAGGCAAGCTTTTCTCACAGTTTTGATCAAAGGGTTAACTTTCCAGAATTTATTTTGCTTGGATGCTTCATCAACCTCAAGATCATTTACAAGTTTTAAATTTGTCCGAATTTTAAAATAACGGTCTCTAGTCATGCGGTCTGCTATCATTGCAACCCTTGTCCTGTTTGCCCAATACATTCTAATCCTTGGCAAGCCCAAATAACTCATAGCTATAGATATGCCAAAAAACAATTTAATTTCTTCCTTAGTTGTGTTCAGATTTTGACCTTTCTTCAATAAGTATGTCTGGTTTGAATAATTACTTATTATTTCAAACATTACTTCAGGAATATATCTCAAAAAATATTCAATTGGTTCTTGTAACAAATTAACGCGACTTGCAGCTAAAGGTTGACAGTACATGCCTGGTGGATATGGAGTGAAATCATTTTCATGCTTGAAATATAGTCGACGACTTGAAGTCTGACGAGCAGCAACAGCAGCCAATGGTACGTCATCATCGCTCGAGTCGTCGTTTGAACCTTCATCCTCCAGCTCTTCCAGGCGTGGTTCAAGATCTTGACTGCCTTCGAAGTCATCGTCAGAAAGGCCTTCAACGGTAGAATCATTGCCATCAAACTCTAAAATTCTTGCTATGTCGCTATCCGTCATATGGACTGCAATACAAAACAAGTAAATGAATAAAACGATCGGATGAAAACAATTAAAATACCTATAAAAATATTAAGTCTGAAACCCCATGTCCCCTCTACGGGACAATCATGTACTTGACGCGATACTCGGTAAAATATTTGCGGAAATTTGAAAGCAATATCTTATTTTTATCTTACATACTTTAAAAATGAACAAATACATTCGTTTTTAAACTAAAATGCGTTAATTTCAACAAAATCAATTAAAAACTTACCTTGGGCAGCCATTTTTTGCAGAAATTTTCAACCACTAACTTCAAGCTGTCAAAAGTTTACAAAAATGAGCGCCAAACATGGTTATTTTTTTTTTTCAATAAGTGACATCTACATTGAAATAAATGTACTAATAATTAGGAAGTTACACTTTGATAGGCGCTGGAGGGCAGTACTAGAAAAAAGGTCTCGTATAGGGGACGCCAGGTCCTAGGAGGGTAATGTACGTACACAAAAATAAAAGTAGTTTTACAAAAATAAGTGAAATTCATTCTGTAAATACTAGGAACAGACACAAGCTAGTAGTACCAGTTACTCGACTCCATCGAGTCAGTAATTCATTCTTGGGGCGATGTATACGCTTTTACAACAAAATTCCAGAAAATATACAAAGTTTGACCTGTTCAAAGTTCAAAAACTTTATTAAACTAAGTTTGTATAAAAAAGGTTATTATAATATTAAGGAATTTATGGATGATAATAACCCCTGGAAATGAGGTGATCGCTACCAAGCTATTTCTAATTTGTTGTGTTGTTAATTTGTGTAACATCATGATTGTAAGCTGTTATTTAAAAAAAAGTCCCGCTGGGTTTCTTGCTGGTTCTTCCCAGGACAGAGGTTTTTTCCGAACCAGTGGTAATCAAACAAAAGAGTGACTTTCAATAAGTATTATTTATAATCTATATTGAATAAAAAAGTTTCTGTTTCTGTTTCTGATAAATTTATCTAGGTATTGGATATTTGTATTAAAAATCATACACACACACACACACGCACACACACACGCACGCGCACACACACACACACACACACACACGCGCACGCACGCACACACACACACACGCACGCACGCACACACACACACACACGCACGCATACACACATTGAACTACATTTTTGTGACTACACGTAAAAATATATACATAAACACTCACGCCTGTCACCCAGAGGGGTAGGCAGAGACTACGGACTTCCATTTGGCGCGATCCTGACACACCTCTCTCGCCTCTTTTAGATCCATATATTTACGCATACACGCTCGTCGGTTAAGGGGTACTCCTAATCTGGCCCATTTTTAATGTATCGCCGATTTGGTCGATAAACCTTCGTCTAGGGCGTCCCTTCCCGACCCTGCCTTTCACTTCTGCAACATAAATTTGCTTTGTCACTCTTTCCTCGTTCATTCTTTCTACATGACCAAACCACCGAAGCATTCCTTTCTTAATCCTTGTCACAACGTCATCTTGCAAACCACACTTTTGTTTTATCACACTATTTCTCACCCTGTCATTCAGATTCAGCCCTAGCATACTCCTTAAGGACCGCATTTCTACAGCATTTATTCTACTCTCATGCTTCTTCTGCCAGACCCAACTTTCACTACCATACATTAAAGTAGGAACTAACACAGCATTATGAATTGCCATACGTGACTTAGTTGACACATTCTGACTCCTCATAATAGCGTGTAGAGCCCCATTCACTCTATTTCCTGCGTTCACTCGTCGTTCTATATCCTTGTCATATCTACCATCCCTGCTAAATAAACATCCCAAATATACAAACTCATCCACTTGCTCAATCAACTCCCCTTCTATTCTTATTTCACATAAAGTTTTACTTTCTTCTCTTTCAAAAACCATCACTTTCGTCTTACTTGCGTTCACTTTCATACCCCTTTCTTTCAATGACCAATTCATTAAAGTAACCATCATTTGCAACTCGGCCGCCGACGATGCAAATATGACTTGATCATCGGCGTACAAAAGGCATTTGACGGTTGACTCACCCATTCTCAACCCACATTCTTCAACTTTCAAAGTTTGCAAACAACTGTCCATAAATAGGTTAAACAGCCACGGAGAAGCTACACAACCCTGTCTGACACCTTTTTGAATGCCAAACCAGTCCGAGTAGGCCCCGTTGATCCTGACACAAGCACTAGAGTCCCTATAAAGAGACCTTAATGCCTGTATCAAGCCAGCGTTCAACCCAAATGAGTTCAGTGTTTGCCATAACACATTCCTGTCCACTCTGTCATAAGCCTTTTCCAAGTCCATGAACGCACAAAAAACTTTCTGGTTTTTGGCCAAAAACTTCTCCGCTATCATGCGCATGGAAAAGACTTGATCCGTACACCCCATCCCCTTTCTAAATCCAGCTTGCACATACCAAATTTTTCCATGAGTTTCTTCCATAACTCTTTCAATTAACACCTTAGCATACAGTTTACCCACAATGCTAAGCAAGCTGATACCACGGTAGTTTTTACAGTCCTGCTGCGACCCCTTTCCCTTATATATTGGGACTATTACGGCTTTGCACCAGTCTTCCGGTACCCGCTCAGTTCCCAACACAAATTAAATAAGGTGTACAGCAGTTCACTCCCTCACCAGCCCTTAGCATTTCGAGTGATACTCTATCATATCCGGCTGCCTTACCTGCTTTCATGCTTTTCATTGCTTTCATTATTTCATCTACACTTATCTCCCTACCTCTCTCCACTTCCTCCGGAATTTCTATTTCACTTATTTCAGACGACTCTTCACTCTTAAACACGCTTTCAAAGTATTCCTTCCATCTCTTTAAATTCGAAACTTCATCATTCAACATGCAGCCATTCTCGTCTCGTATAGCATTCATTCTAGGCTGTTTTGAATTTCTCCTGCCAGTTCTTACGAGCTTCCAGAACATTTTAATATTGTCCTGGAAGTTATCAGATATCCTTCTATCATTTTTATCTATCCTTTCTTGCTTTATATATATATGTGTGTGTGTTAGTGTGTGTGTATGTATATATTTAGTAGTCATAATTTACATACTTATGATAAAGATAAGTTGTATTTGTTACCTAATTCTTCATTTATACTCGTAAATACTACAAATGTGATATGGAAGAGTGGCTCCTTCTGACACAGGTGCAAATGCATTTAAAAGAATGAGTCAACCTATGTTCTAGATTTAAAACAAACTTTGTTAAAGAAATAAACTTTTATTATTATTATTTATAGTAGTGGGTCGTTGTCGAATTTTTAACGGACGAAACGCAACCGTTTTCCCGACGACGAAAACGGTTGCAGAAACCGGTCGTTGTTGCAACCGGTTTGAAGACGGCTTAAAGAACGAAGACTATTTGAACCCAGGACGTAAAACGGTTTCATCGTCGCAGAACACAAAACGGTCTTTGTAAACGTTTCGTCGTCACAAGGCCAGGCCCACCCCTAGTTTCTTGGTTTGGATTTTAACCTTTGAATTCGATTGCTTTGAGTCTAGACCACGGAGCAAATACAAAGACGAGGTGTTGTAATTAGATTTCACTATGTAACAACGCGAGACAATTTGCGGGGTGAGGGGATGTTAAGCCCCGCCCACTTTACTATTTTCCATCTACCGATAAATAGTAAAACTACTCGCATCGTTCCATATCGATGTTGCAATGTAGTTTAGCTACCTTGACGATAGATGGCGGCCTGTTCACAAAATGATTATAAAAACTATAAAAATAATATTTTGGTGATTAAAAATTCTTTAGGACTGAATACAAAACAAATTTCAACGCCTTCGTATGATTATTTTACCCATACTGAGCTCTACGTACCTTTATATTTTAGTTCCCATGACACAAAGTGTCGCCATCTAGGGTCAAATATATTTAATTACATTTGAAAACCGACGCAGAGACTTTTCTAGAAACTTTTTAATAAATTAGGTATAAAATTACTTACAAATGAAATGTTATGCCATCCATAGCATCAGAGCGTCTATCTGAGTAGTAGTAAAAAAAAAAACATAGTTCACGTCCATTTCTACTACCTCATGCCGAAGCCGCCGATGGGCGCCTTGGAATGCTTTAGCGAGATGCCTCAGACGCCGTTGGGCAGGTGACTCCAAATATATGACGGCATGGGGGTAAAGTGTTTCTATTCACAGGAGGCAATGAATGGGTTAAGCATGTCAACTTTGGCAAATCCCCCTATAAGCCTCTGTATAACAGTGGACTTTAAATAGGTTGTGATGAATTAATGAAAGTGTGATAAAGAATTTTCTATCTATCTATTCATGTAAATGTCATGGAAAAACTACTGTTATTATCTATATCAATCTATGGAATATAAGACCCACATTTTTTCATAATTATAGATAAAAAACGGCGCAAATAGTGAGTACGGAGCGACGTAAGTTGGGTCAAGTTTGAGTATGTACTCTTCCAGCAACTATAGAACAAATGTATCGAATGACGACAACAAATATAGACGTGAAAAACATTTCACCGCCCTCCTCCCGCGACCTTACATCTCAAAGAGATCTTATATGGTGGTTACTGAGCAGGTAGCAAAGATTAGTACAACTATCTATTATATTATAATATACCAAATTAAACTTCTTTTAGATACTACCTTCATATAAGAAAATCCTAGTTCATTCACGCCAACTGCCGCATCCATATGATAGAGTTCATAGAACTTGCCAACTTTGAAAAACAAAACACAATCAAAATGAGCCGATTTCATATCCCACCACTGCTTATGACCCTAAAATAAAAAATAGAAAAATTACTCAAAGAAAGGATACTGAATAATCATGATCTATGCTTAGAAACTTACTGGAGTTTGACTGTTGTAATAATCAGGTGGTACATATAGTGTTGTGGGGTCATAGTCAGGGTGATCGGGTCTTCTCTTCTTAGCATCTCGAATCTTTTCTGGTTTTAACCAATCCAGTTTGCAATGAGCCCAATCGCCATCATCAGCTATTACTGCTGTCTCTTGTTCTAATGGTTTTGCTTGAGTTTTAGATGGTCTAAACAAAAGTTATTCAATTTTATGATAAAATATTACAGAAATATTCCAAATTCAGATTTATAGTAATAATTGCAGTGATTAGTGAAATAACAAAGAATTCAAATGGAGTAATCTAACTCATCATCTAAGACTTAGGCTGGTAGTCAGACAATTTCGAGTTTAAACTGAAACTTCACAATGTCATAAATTCGCTTGCGCCGATTGCGTCAGCTAACTTGTATGGAAGTATTCACGTTGGCGCGAATAGTCGCACGTGCTGCAGCGAAATATACGCGGGATAGTGCCTGATTTATCGAAATGCCGTTGAACCTTGAATTATTTTTACAAAAATTAAAAGAAAACAAGATTCTATACGACCTCAGCCACTAAAAAAAATAATAGGAAAAAATATATTTTGTTCGATTCTTGATAAAACTTTGTTATAGCATTTTTCTGGCATACGAAAAAATATATATAATCTTTTTTTATCTTTTCGTAATGTGGGTATCAAATTGTAAAACTCCAAATTCTACACGTTGAGTACTCAGCCCTTGAACCATTTTCTTTTTTTCCTCACTTCTCGTACATCTCATTGTTTTATGTGGTAGAGCCACACTGCAGCTATATTAATGAATAGTTGAAGCACGAATGAAACGGCTCGACCGGGGAAGGACCAGCTCTCACAGAATACCAGCGTAAAATAGTTGGTTAACGCTGCTGGGTTTCGTATGGTGAGTTGGTGAGTGCAGAGAACTGGAGACCCTTTTTACCGGAAATGAGTCATTCCATCTCAGTCCTCAAGGGTGACAATGCATCTGCTGTAGATGTATGTGGGCCACAGCAACAACTTACCATCAGGTGGACTGTGTGCTCGTTTGTCAGTTTGTCACCCTCATCCTATAAAAAATACATCTTGAGATTCTTCTTCAGTTAATGCTAATAGCAACAAAATATCAGCTTCAATATCGATAGCCATGTTTTCATATTCAGAAACTAAAAATAATGATGTGCGATGTATATTTTTATTACCATTTATATCTTATGTATTTTATTTCCATGTGCTACAATTTTTTTTGTTATTTTAGTTTAGTATTAGCATATTAACTTTTTATTACACCTACTTCATTCTATCTCTGCATCATCCCAAGGTAGACTGGTAGAGAATGCCTTAGGCATTAAGTCCACCTATATACCACATATGAATATGAAGTTTTAAATAAATAAATAAAATACAAATTAATACATATAATCTATATAGATGGCATAAATTCAATGGCAAAGATAGTGATTGTGTACAAGCTTCTGAAAAACAGATAAAGATTGACATTGACTGACAGAGGTAGGGCATTCCATAGATGGACTGCTTGGATAGTAAACAACCTGTCCAAAAATTTGGTATTATGGGCAGGCATTTTTAATGTAAAATTTTTTGATCATCTCAAAACTTTCAAATGGGAATAATGAAGGAATTCAAAGCGATCCTTAAGATAAGAAGGCCTATCCTTCTTATCTTAAGGATTAAAGAGAACATTGTAAAGAAGTGACAGAATATGAGCATTCCAGCGAAGACAAAGAGGAAGCCACTTGAGCTTATTACGAAAACAAGAAACATGATCATATTTCCGCAAACCAAATATGAATCTTATACAATAAATTTTGAAGACACCCAAGTTTATCAAGTTGCTTTTCAGTGAGATCAAGATAGCTGACATCTGCATAGTACAGAATTGGGAGAAGCAGAGATTGTGTAAATGCAATTTTAGTAGCAGTAGGTATAAATTTCCTAACAAATATGAAATGAATATTCCGTCCATCCCTATTCTGTAATATCAATACTATAGAATTTCTTAAAACCTAAATTTTAACCTATTACTTCTTACCCATTAATGGAAGATTTCTTTTCTTTGCTGCTAGTAGGGGATTCATTGGGGTCATATTTAAAGCTGTCCTGCAACCTTTTTTGTAAATTATCCTTAGGCTGTGTTTTGACATCTGGAAGCAGACAGATTAATCTAATTTATTGTTTCTTAAATGTTCATTACAATTTTTTTAAATGCACTGTCATTTCTTACTGTCACCATTTTCCTTAACTTGTAAAAATTCAGTTTTTTTCAATAAAATACATTAGACATAATATAGAAAACTCAACACATAAAATGAAAAATATGTTTTACTTTATTTTATTGATATTTTAATGATGTTTTATTGGCAAGTCTTCCTTTATTGTCCAGAAGGATTGGAAAGTCTGGATGCACACAATTTGCATTGTCCTAATGTCCATTTGCCTATTGCAACACTCACAATGTACATATTAACAACAATATTACTTAGCTATATTGTAGATCAGTATATTAAATAGATTTCTTGATATTTTATGCATAAAAATACACCTAAGTTTAAAGCTGAATAGTATTTAGCTTCAACCAGGAAATACAACTAAGTTATGTTTTTTACTTTATGTAACAATAATAACAATTTATTTTATTTATTTATTTCTCAAACGACATAGACATTGGTTACATTAGTGTTACATCTCTATTTAACAATATTATGTCATTCGTGGGAGACTGGTGCCCGTGTTGGTTCAAAGACCCATATTACAGGTCACCGCCCCCCCCCCCCCCCGAATTTACTAGGCTCTTAGTATAATAACAATAATCCAATGAAGAATGTTATGGTAATTGGTACTTCTAGAATGATTATATATTATATTATAATATGCGGCTACACTCCAGCAACTTGAAATTATTTACAATCCAAAACCAAAATAAATTGGAAAAATCTCAAAGTAATTTTAGTTTCACCTCTATTCTCGATATCAGAGTCGTCGGAATCCACTGGGTTAAGACGTATCCTTTTCCTCTTCTTAGAAGCAACAAGACTATCATCATCACTATCGTCATAGGTTTTATTTACCTCTGGCGAAGGAGTCGTTTGCCTTTCGCGCTTATTATCTGTAATATAATATTTTTATTAATAAATTAATTTTAATCTAAGGAGTTTTAATTCGAAGTTGCTAATTTTACTTACTTTCATATTTTAAATCTATATTACTGTTTACCAAATTTTGGTTAGGAATAGCATCAGAATCAATATTATTTGATTTTATTTTTTTGTTGCTTGGTGGAGTTTTAGTGAAATAATTGAACAAAGTGTTTCCGATACTATTACGCTTTGACATTTTTGAAAACAAATCGAAGCTAATACGACACAATTTTATTGTTATACAAAATTTCTCAGAATATTTGACAATTACTCTGTAACAAAAATAATAACATTAATAGTAAATAAAGCTGTAAAGCCAAACTTGGGAGGTTTGTTTAGACTTGATTTCGGTTTGGTTAATCTGTCAAGCCTTTGAAGTACACATGAGGCAATCCAAGGTCAACTTTGTAGAACGCTCCAAAGAGTATGGTAATATTTAGAAAGGACCCCTCAGAACCAAAGAGTATATGATCACTACACTACGTTTAGTCAGAACCATAGTTATTGTGCTCATAACAATTATTTTTTAAATGTTATTTAGATGAACTATAAAACTAAAATTTTATTAGAATTAGTTTCGTTATTAAATTACGCTTCTTTAAATTAACAGAATTTACTTCAAATGACGAGTTTCCGCCTCGCGTCGCGTTTACGTCACATACTTTAGTCTTATATCCTTCGCCGCGTGAGTGTAAGAGGCAACTAGAAATTTTACAAAAAATTAAGTGGGTACAATAGAAAGTTTTTTGTTAGTTTTTATACAAATGGTAAGTAATTACACTGTTTTAAAATTTAATTCCTTATATTTTGCTTCGTAACAATTTCATATATTTTATAAAATTGCCATTTCAAATACTGTGTCGTTCAGGTATCACTATATTTAATAGCCAGAATTAACTGAAAAGTAAATAAAAAGTGTGAGTTATCACAATAAATCATGTAATAAACACAAATTTTCATATCCCACAAAGTCCAATGCGCGAAAATTACGTTTTATGTTATAATTTCGATATATAGTGAACATTATGGCGAAGTTGTTTTCAACAATAACTAAAAATAAAAATGTGAATGTGAAGCACCAGCTTTCAAATAAAAAAAGAATCATCGAAATCAGTTCACCCAGAAGATTATGAGGTAACACACATAAAAAAACACAGTCGACTTCCTTCTCCTGTTTGAAGTCGTTAGAAAAATGGCGTTGCTCAAAGATAGCGTAATAAAGTATATACTTTATTAGGCTATCTTACGGATGTACAAGTATATACCTGTGATTTAATTTTTTTTTGTGGCTTCTACTGAGTTTATCGATATAATTATATTATATATTTCTTTTCTTTATGAAAATCAAGTGTTTCTATGTCCTTGTTTCTTTCTTCATAATATTTATTCGATTTTAACATATATATATACATATATATATATATATATATATATATATATATATATATATATATATATATATATATATATATATATATATATATTGAATTTTAACATAATATAGCGATTCGTTTGATTTGCCTTAGTTGTAAAAGTGAAATAATATTTACTTTTTTTTCTTTTCAGTAGAATTGTTTGGTTTTGTTATTTAATATTGTTTTAACCATTGAACTTGTTTACGCAACTTTTGTTTAATAAATTGTTTGATGCTGTTTGATGACTTTTTTACACATAATTGTTTACCACCGGCGGATTTTCCGGACCGATACGACTTAGGGACCTTCAAGAAAAGAGCTTACACCTTTCTAAACGGCCGGCAACGCATCTGCAATTCCCCTGGTGTTGCGGTTGTTCATGGGCGGCGGTAGTCACTTACCATCAGGTGAGCCGCATGCTCGTTTGCCCCCTCTTCTATAAAAAAAAACACAAAAATATTTTTTTAAATAATAAAATTAATCCCTCCCTCTCCTTACAGTTTCATTCCACTGCTGGTGATGGACCGTTACATCCTATAAAAACCCCCAATGAACATAGGCCTCCACTATATTCCTCATAGAGGGTATACTTGTCATAGTTGTCACGTTCTGTTCCACGGTACACGTACCTTGTTGTATTGAACAGTGGATCAGTCGCCTCTTACGAAACCCACGGAATAGTATGAATATTCATACACCGCCACTACACAGTAATTGATAATTTCTCGAAACATTTCATTTATCGACAAATCGTCTTGCAATCGTCGTCACTCTAGCGCTCACTTGACCTTCATATAAATAATTCGATATTTTAATTGTTGATAATTTTTTATTTTTGGATATGAACATAGTAATGACTCTAAGTTATTTTTACCATTTTTTTAAAAAATCGTCTGGCCTGACCTACTATACTCTTTGGCTTGACCATAGTTCTAACTAAATATGTCCAATAAAATGTCAAGGTCTGAGAGGTTAATTTATATATTTTTAAGTAATCGACAGTTTGGCGCAAAATTTACAACAAACGACAAACGTCAAATAGGGATATTCGATATACATCGATGCATCGAATTCACTCGATGTTTACAATACGATGCATCGAACCGATCCGATGTTTTGGAAAGTTATTGATACACTCGATGTATCGATGTATTTTCATAAAACATCGAATCAATGATAACCATCCAATGGTAAAATGGGTATACTTATATCACTATTAATATTATAACTTCTAACTCAGAAAAACAGCGCTCTGATTTAGAAGGTATAATATTAAACCTGTTGGTGGTGCTACTTGGCAGCTGTCAGTCCTTAGCGAAATCAAGAAATTGGCTGGTTGGAAACACTGTGCTAAATAGAATCGAAAAAAAATCGTCTGGTCTGTCTCGGTTTTAAGGCGGCTACTCACTTGCATGCCGCTGGGCAATCTAGGATGAACAGCGATCGGGACAGTATCAGAATTGTCTCTCTATACACATGCCTGCCGTTCAGTATGAAAGTGTACATCTCGGTTGACACATGCGTTGAGAATGGCGCTAGTTTTATCGAAATATCAATGAATCTGTAAATATAGCCTTGGTTCTTTTTTTATAAAGAATAAGGGTGACAAATGAGCACAGTCCACCTGATGTTAAGGAGATAATGTGGCCCATAGACACCCATATTTCTGATAAAACAACTAATTAATTAATAATTACAACCATAACACAGTCCTTAAAAGTTTAAAAACGTTACAACGTTCAAATAACGTTGCTTTTGCGGTGCTGCCGTAAAAAAAAAAACAAAAGGAGACAGAAAAAGAAACAGGAGATAATGGGTGAAGAAGCCGCTGTTTATACACTTCTATCACCAGTATCCAAATTTCACATGTTTTATTGATATCTATTGTGAAGTGTGCTGCGCGCGAAAGTCACTAACGAACTGATTGAAATTGTTCCAATGGTGCTACACACGTGGCAGCGGTAGCTATGATCTAGGGAGCAAAGAAGTTCTTGCGCCCCTGCCGCCCAGCCACAGGGCCGACTTAGCAAATTAACCCTGCTTTCATACACACATCACAATTAAGGAGGAAATTAAGGGTGATCCCCACTTCTACACCCTAGATTGCCCCTGCGGCAGGCAAGTGAGTTGACGCCTTTAGACCATTTATATATATTTATATTTTTAAACAGTGGTAGAGCCACACGGCAGCTTTTGCTGTCGTACGGATGGGCCGGCTCGAACCGGGGTGGTACCACGACCTCACAGAAAACCAGCGTGAAGTAGAGGTTTACCTCTGCGTTTTGCTTGGTGAGTGCAGGTGGCCGGAGGCCCTTTTTACTGGAAATGAGGCATTCCATCTTAGTCCTAACGAGTGACAACGCATCTACATTTTGATTTGTAACAGAGGATAGATGTAGATGTCTATGGGCCGCAGCAACCACTTACCATCAAGTGGACTGTGTGCTCGTTTGTCACACTTATCCTATAAAAAAAATTAACACAGTGGACTCGCCTCGCATGATTATTGCCCTCTGCCAAAGTATTGGATTTAAAAATCTTGTGCGTTGATTAAACCTGCTTACAGAATCGTTTTTATAAACGCACTAGATTTTTATCCCTATAAGAATCATTTCCGCCGAAGTAGGTGTTTTTTGAAAAATGCCAATCGGTTCGGTTAACGTGTGCATAAAGCAGTCAAATACTTAAAGTTGTACAAAAAGATGGAGTTGTATTCCATATGTAAGTATTTTTATTGTGAATGTATCATTTTTTATCATTCAAAATAATATCATAAACATTGACCTACTACTAAATGGACCTCGGCTATGCGCTCAAAAGTGTCCGAGCCAAAAGAGTTCCAAAATGCAAAAAGAGCTCGAATTGAACGCCAGTCTTCGTTTTGTCGCCCGATAATACACTCCAAATTGCCGTACAGTATCACAAAACGAGCAAAACTATTTATATATTTTTTCGATACTATTTAAGTATATTAAACTATTAATATTTAATAATTTAAAAATAATATTTTGTTTAGATACAATATACGTAGTATTTAATTAAAATTCACATTAATTGTAAAAACAAAAAACCATACCGATTTTTTTCGCTAGAAGCTTCATAAGGCGAAAAGAATGCAGCCTCTTGTTGAAGTTAAAAGGCTGATAAATTGTCGCAAGTAAAATTATATATATAATACGTTTGTATAGGTTGACTCGGGACACATTTTTCGTGAATTTTGTTCTAGATCCGCCGTCCATTTAGTAGTAGGTGAATGATCATAAATAATAATTTATTTATTCTTTATTGCATTCCTTGATATAAAAGAATACAAAGGGAATAATACAAAAAAAAAATCTACCAGTCAACCCACGAGAATTTGACGTAGGTGTAGCAGTATAAAATAATAACAAAATAAAAATGATAATTAACTAAGTTATATATTAATTTTACAAATATATAAAACAAATATACTATAGAAATATCTCCTATTTATGCATATATACAAATATATGCATACAGACGTATACATACATATATACACATCAACATACAAATATAAATAATACAAATAAATAACTATGAATATTTACGTCTGTTAACAATATATTAGTTCTTACGAATAAGACACTTTGTGTGTCATGCAATTAAGAATATCTATCTATCGAACTAACATCCTTGAACACACATACACACTCACGAAAGGCGTGCGGGCAGACAGTACTGATGTAAGAGTAGTAGATCATTCAAAATTGTCGGTTGTTTGAAGTCAGAAAAAGTACTCGATGTTGAAAAAACATCGATGTTTTTAACCGATGCATCGGAATATATCGATGCACAGTTTCGATGCATCACATCGAAAAAATACATCGATGTATTTTCATAGTGGACACCCCTAACGTCAAATACAAACTAGGCTTGGGCAAAACATTTCGATATAAATCGCGATATTTCGATATATCGATATTTATTTTTGA